ATGGGTTGCACTACGTGAGAATAAAATAAGTAAAACAAAAATCAGCAAACCCGCACATGGGGTGTGGGGGGGGGAAGGCGGGAGAGAAGCAGAAATCAATGGAGAAAGAGAAGGCGTTAATGTTACAGAAGGTAGCTGAGCCTTACGCTTTGAGGAAGGAGGGCGGAGGAGAGCAACAGGGGGGCAAAGCTGTTGAAGTTAGGGAGCAGAAGGACCTCGGGGCCGAGGCTTTTGTGGGGAAGGGCAAACGGTACGTGAGAACACCTGAATACAGGAAGGAAGCCAAGGATTCCTATACCAACTCCCCAGTTTTGCCCCACTGCTAATTTGGAGAGAAGGCCCCAAACCAACTCTCCCTTTATTTCTCACCCTGAGGCCAGCAGGGAGGCGGAAGCCTTGGTCCCAGTATCCACTCCAGCCGCCTCAGGCTCCGTTTCTCCGTCAGGGGCCTTTAGTGGCGGAGCACAGCGCGGAACTCAAAAGAAATAAAAAGAAAAAGAAAGAGGAAAAATGACCCAAATTGTCCCAAATGCATTGCCGTAACCGGCAGCCGGGAACGCTCCGTGATATATCGCGTGATCGAGGAAGGGCGGAACCGGACCTTCAGCAGGAATTAGAAAATGTCGCGGCCATCTTTGTTATGGTCGCAACGGGGTTCCCGCTCGCTTTGCAGAAAGGCGAAGATTTTCTTCCTTCGGCCAGTGCGAGGAGATGGGCGACGGCTGTAGAGCGTGACTTCGTTTATTTTTGGCATTTTATTTTGGATTCACCTCCCCACCCAATTTTTTTAAAAAAATATGAATATTGGAGTCTGACTATGATAAAGACCTAGGCAATCAGGGTTTCTTTTAAAAAATTGTTCTGGTTTTATGTCGTATACAGATTTAGCCAACTTAACATCTATCTGATACATTAATTATAGTATTGTGTCCCAATCTATCTCAAGTTATGTTTTAATGTGCACTAATACAATTATATTAGTTCCCAAACGACACTAAAAAAAGATGTTAAAAAGTCTAGCCCAATTTCAATTAAGAAGAAAAATAGAGATTATTTTCAAAAGAGACCACCATGGCTGCAGTGTTCCAATATCTAAGGAGCTGCCACAAAGAAGAGGAGGGTCAACCTATTCTCCAACGCACCCGAGGGTGGGACAAGAAGCAATGGATGGAAACTAATCAAGGAGAGAAGCAACTTAGAACTAAGGAAAAATTTCCTGGCAGAACAATCAGTGGAATGATTTGTCTCAAGAAGTTGTGGGTTGATGAGTTGCTGGTCCCAGTGCCGGGATGAGGAGTCAGCTGGTAGCCCACGCCTGGACTGACTGCCCAGACGGGCTTCTCTCGCAGAGGCAATGAAGACAAGGACACAAAGGCATGTTCTTGGGAGAGGAAGCCCAGAGCAAACTTTGCCCCTCTCTTTTATTGTGCAAGTTTAGGGTGGGGTTTAGGGTGTATGAGGAAACATTCCTTTTGGGTACATTTGACCATATAAGGCTATGTATTTGCATATTTGACCATATAAGGAAACTGACCATATAAGGCATACTGACCATATAAGGTAATACCTATGTTGACCAATCATAGCTTTACACGTGTTGTTGGTTGTTTTGTTACCTGCCTCACTATGTTGACCAATCATAGCTTTACACGTGTTACCTGGCAGGTATGGTATCATTGGATCATTGGGTGATATTGCAACAGTGGGTGCTCGAAACACTGGAGGTTTTAAAGAAGAGATTGGACAACTATTTGTTTGAAATGATCTAGTTTCCTTCTTGAGCAAGGGGTTGGCGTAAAAGACCTACCAGAACCCTTCCAATTCTTATAGTGTTATCCTGACATACATGTGAATGCCTCACTATATTAATTCATTAAGTTTAATTGAATGTGCCCTACAATGAATTTCAGCATACGGATAAATATTTCCACAAATTGTGCATAGGAATCCCTCTTGCCTATAAAGACAGTTTATAACTCATATTTTATAAATAGGCATTAGGGATCCAATTTCACTGAAAATAAGTATTTTTTTCAAATTAATATGCATAATGCAATTAAAGATGAATCTTTTATATAAAATTATTCTTTTCAAGTTCATGGATGGCATTCTTGATGCATCAACACAATTTAAACATATATATCTGACAAGATTTTGTGGTACTGCAATGGCAAAGATACCATGAAACAGGCTTGTAGATTCATTCTGAATATTTAACACAGTATTTGTCATACAATCCTGTGACAATGTAGCTCTCAACACATTTCCAACACCACCCATACACCAGTGGTGGGATTCAGCTTGGCGCCCACCCTACTGGGGGAAGGTTACTGCAAAATCCCATTCCCTCCCTACCCCACTAACCTACTTTCCAGCTCTGTTCTCCTGTGCAGACCAACAAAAGAAGGCCCAGCCAATCAGCTGGGACTTGGGAGGCAGAGAATAGATGGGAGCAGGGCTGGTCAGTATTTGCTGGTTCTCCAAACTATTCAAAATTCTGCTACTGGTTTTCCAGAACTGGTCAGAACCTGCCAAATACCACCACTGCCATACACAATTCACTCATAATTTTTCCCTTTTCTCATTTGCACTGTATTTGTTGCTACACATGGAACATTTTTACAAGGGAGTTGCTGCAGTGAGACTTTAAAATAGACTCTTTTATATTAACAGATTATTGTAAATCCTTGCTGCTAAGTGGGAGCTGATTTTTCAACAGAGACGTGCAACATTGTGTGTGGGGGGGAGAGGGGGAAAGAGTGGGAAAGGGAGAAGGAGAGAGAAAGAAATTGAGATTTAAAATGTGACCTTTAAAAACTGCCTCGTGTTGCAGTGAAGCTGTAAAAAGCTTCCATTGACATATATGGAAGTTATTTTAAAGCCTCATTGAAATGAAGAATGCGGGGATGCCTTCATTGATAGACAAAGAGACTATAAGTAACCTTTGAAAATGTCTATGTTATAAGGAGGCTTGCTGGCCATGAGCCACGCAAAGTCAGTCTCTGACATTGGAGAAATGAGTAGGGCATTAATCCTTAGTTTAAAAAAAAAACCTAGATAAGATAGGTACCTTGGGGGAAAGGAGTGTAGATTCTGAAGAGGGTGAAGATCTTCCCTAGTTGTTATCAGGCCATACAGGGAACATCTGGTGATGGGACTGGACATTTTTTGTCCAAATGAAACCTTTAAGAAGGCAGGTAGTCCTTGACTTAATAACAGTTCATTTAGTGACCGTTCAAAGTTACAACATCACTGAAAAAGTGACTTATGACCATTTTTCACAGTTACCACCTTTGTTGCATCCCCATGATCACGTGATCAAAATTCAGATGCTGGGCATAATTATGACCATTGCTGTGTCTCAAAATCATGTAATCACCTTTTTCAACCTTTTGACAAGCAAAGTTAGCATGTAGCTAACTTAACAATTACAGTGATTCACTTAACTGGCAAGAAAAGTTGTAAAATGGGGCAACACTCATTTAACAAATGTCTCACTTAACAACAGAAATTTTGGGTTCAATTGTGGTCATAAGTTGAAGACTACCTGTGTAGTAAATTGTTCTGTTTAACGTAACTGATTTTAGTGAGACTAAAGCATTTCTAATTTATTCTGATTTAATCCAGAACTACCAAGTAATTAATGAAGGTGAATTCCTGAACCTATATAATTAGGAGCTGGGAATTAAGTTCACTAAATATAATAAGGCTTACTTGTATATGTGTTATTCAGTACAGTAAGAGATCGGCAGGCAAATGAAGAGTAACATTGGCAATGGCTGCAGTTGCAGTGAAAGAAACCCAGTGGTTTATTACACTAAGCTTATTAACAATCAATTTCTTTTGTTTGTGCATTATATTGAATAGTTCAGGTTCCAAATGGACTGAATTGGCTTAAGATAAAAGATGCAAGGGAGCAATTGCTTGCACGTTTAGTATTTTAGTATTTATTTGATTTGTCAATTGCTTACAAGGTACATGGTATAAGAATAAACATAGTTTTGAATACATGAGATAGATACTTATAAGAAAAATAAAAAGAAACAATAGGACAGGGACTGTAGGCACGATTGATGCGCTTATGCATACCCCCTACAGGCCTCTTAGGAAGGGGATGAGGTCAATAGTCACCTTCCAGTGAAGGAGAACTTTTACACCCTGCCACTGCTGTGTCTGCCAAAATTTTAAAAATTCAATATTTGGCAGGAAATTGGAACAAAGTTATAATGGCACATTCTATTTAAATAATCAACATGTTCTTATACTGGAAATTCCTTTCCAGATAGTAACGAAGTATGGCATTGCGCTAAAGTGAAATGCTGCAATTTCCTACTTTGTAACTGAAGGAAGAATAAATAATGAAGATAGCAGTTTAGAAGCTTCATTCAAAGATGTTTTATTATTTTTTTAAAAAAATATATCCTTTAATATTGTGCCAAAATGTCAGTTTACATAATATTTGATTTGAATAATACATAATCCAATGATAGCTATTCACTCCATTTAGTAGTTAGAAAAGCACAAGAACACAATTGGGAACTATAGCCTTTTCATTTAAAAAATTGATGATACCATGGTTCATAATATGTAAGGCACTATTAATACTAGTGTTTGGAAACTGGCAATCTTGAAAACATCAAATATTTTGGTCTAGGAATTAAGGCATCAGACTAGAAATCTTTAACCCTGCCTTAGCTATGAAAGTCAACTGGATGATTTGGGGCCAGTCATTCTTTTACCCCAACTCACCTTACAGGGTTATGTTGTGGGAAAAATAGGAGGATGAAAAAGTATTAAATACATTTGCTGCCTTGAATTATTGATAAAATTAATAAAGGCAGGATACAAGTAAGTATAAAAAATTGCATTTCAATAGTTTTTTAAGTTAGTATTTTTGTTTATTTTAGCAAAATAAAACAATAAAAACACTGCACTTTTCAATATTGCACAATACTGATTTTCTAATTTTTGGTACAAATATTGTACTGTTCTAATACATATTAAAAGTTCATAAAAACATTTGGTTAAGTTTCAGGCTTTTCTGTGGGCAAAAAAACTGGAACTTCATTTTCAGATGACAGTTCTGCTCAGTTGGGTTTCCTCATGCAGACTTGACAGCGACTAATTATTTTTTCCATATTTCCAGCTTTTAGAGTCTGTGGCACTGGTTTCCTTTAAACGTAAATGAGAATAATATATTTTAAATAAAAGAAAATTCCCATATCTTAAACATTAAACTAATAAATGCTACATCAGTGTCAGTCACCTGTATTTAAATCAAAGTACAACAAGTAAAAATAATTAGGACTACAAAGTGCTTTGCATTTGAAGAGAGCTGCTGTAGAGTATATAACCACAGGCCCTCAAATAGAATTTCTCTGTAGTTCTTGAAAATAATGATTCCCCCCCCCCCGCCAGGTCTTTGGGGTGACCCTAAAAAAAGCTATTTCTGATTAAATAGTTGATGGCAGGAATTCTACACACACATCGTCCAAAGCATCTTTTTGTCTTTGAATCAGAAGGCAGACCTGACAGTAAAACAGTTGTCATAAAACAATGGATTTATCAAATTTTGAAATCGCCCATCTCCCTCAGAGGGATTTGCTAAATAAGGCAGATAGATATCAAAATAAAGATAGAAATATCAGCTTTATTTGTGAATTGGCTAAGTGGGTAGCATATTACATACAATGAAAAAATGAACCAACTATTTTAAGCTGCATCATAGAGAAGGTAGTGTAAATAAAAATACCTGAACATTCTTCTTGAGTTTAGCGTAGCCAACCAGAAACTGTAGGAATTTGAGTAGTAATTACATGTTCCTCGGCCATGACATTCAATGAATGGAAGGGCACGAAATTTTTCTAAACATGACCCTGGAGATGCCAATGCTTGTCCAGAAGCTTCTGAGCCTGCACCCGTATACTGTAATGATAAATGACTTTCATAAAATCTGTTTTATTTAGTAATCTGTGGATAAGGAATATCAGTTTTAGACTTCCAACAATAATTGTCTCTCAGAATATTAAGACCTCAAATAATTCATCCAGGTTATTTTTATATAGCACTTTGGTAGTTTTTGCTAATATTGATAGGATTTGTAGCATCATAGAACAACAGAAATTTCAGATACTTTTAGTAATGCATTATTTTTTTCCTTCAGGAACTTTTTTTCTTTTGGGCTAGGCTGGAGTATGATCATATAAACATGTCGGGATGCTTGTGACTTTTAAACCTTACAAATTTTATTACCACACAGTTTTCTTCAAGAACAGTTATGATACATTTGTTGTTAAAATATGAACGATCCTCTTCTATTTTTATCATAATCTTAAAAAATTTGTAGGCTGATTTAAAGAAACCATCTATAGGTGCAGTATAGATGGTTTGTTTGTTACTTTTGTAGTTCAATGGCCTGTTGAAATATTTTGAAAAAGCGCTTAACCGATTTCATGATTAGTGCTAGGCTATTATCTAAGCCAAGGGTCTTCAAACTTGAAAGCTTTAAGACTTGTGGACTTCAACTCCCAGAATTCCTGAGCTAACATCACTGTAGGAGGAATTCTGGGAGTTAAAGTCCACAAGTCTTAAAGCTTTCAAGTTTGAAGACCCCTGATCTAAGCTATCAAAAAACAACATATGGTTATAAAAATATTCACATAGCCATAAGATACTTGCATATCCTTTTTCACACATTAATAAAAAAAAGCTGCCTCTGTGTCAGCCTTTAAGACAGTCCAGACAAGAAATGAAAACCACTGATCTACTTCCAGTAAACTATAAACTACTATGTATTGCCTTAAACTATTGTGTCTGTAACCTTTAACTGCATGAAAAGGTGTATCATAGAGCAAAACATTTTCAACCAATGTCCCTCAAATTAACTAACATACAGAATGCATCCAAAATCCAGGATCCATGTCTCCCATGAAATTAAATTTAGCAGGGAGGGAGGGAGGGAGGAAGGAAGGAAGGAAGGAAGGAGATTCTGCCAGCTTTCCCCTAGAGAATTCAGTGGTAGAGTTGACAGGAAGTTGGAGGTCACTCCTGCTCCAACTGATTTTTTCCCCATGTGTGATCATTCTGATCCTCTCTTTAGGTAAGGAAATATCTCTGAAACAATGCCCCAATTGATCAAAGTTTGTCTAGTGAGTACTAACACAATCTTCATTGTAAGACTACAGTAACAGAATCTTGTAAGTCTGAAAGCACTTCTCCCCTCTCTTACTTTTACTTTCTAGGAAATTAGAAAAGATTCTTTCTGAGATGCTTTTTCCATCCCCATTCCTTCTGTGGGTTGATATATCTTGTGTCTGACATTGCTTTAGTTGTGGCTCTTTGTTCAGTCTCCAAAAGTTATTCTCTCAACTCATATAGTCCCTAATTTATCACAACTACTGCCAGCAATATTTTAAATTGGGCAAGTGCATGAAGTTTGCCAGATATTTGCCTTGTTTCTTCTGGTACTGGACAAGTTGGTGACTTTAATGTAGCACTATGGCTCAGTAGTTAAGATATTGGACTTGTCAGGTAGAAAGCTGACAACCTAGGTCCAAGACCGAGCATTGCACAATGGGGTGAGCACCCATCTTTGCCTAGCTCCTCTCCCACTTAGCAGTTTGACAGCATGCAAATGTGAGAAGATAAATAGGTACCACTTAAGTGGGGAGGAAACAGCACTGTGCAACATCATGCTGGCCACATGACCAAGGAAATATCTTTGGACAGCAATGGCTCAATGGCCTGGAAAGATGAGTGCCTAGTGGAGTAAAATCTGTAGACTCCTTTCCTTTCCTCATCAGATTCTGATCAAGAGAAGAACAACAGATTCCTCAAGAATTTCTGGTCTCAAGTTTTGAAGTTTTTGAGGCAGTGCGAGACAGATGGGCATGGAGAGTGCTGATCCATAGAGGGGCCGAGGGTCAGGCACAATGCTTAAAATCAGATATCCCTTGTAAAAACCATAACACTGCAACTGACAGTCTGACTTAAAGCAAAGTACTGCTGCAGCTGCTTTGTTTTTGATAAGGCTTCCAACTACTCTGTTAGGAATCTGGTGGCACCTTTTCCAAGTAACACATTTTATTAGAAGGCATGAGCTGCAGTTCATTTCATAAGAGACACAGAATGGCAAAACAGACATAGAATTAAAATTGAGGGAAGGGGGGAGTGGAGAGGAGGGGAAGATAAGTTGTTTATGTAGATGCAGCTTACATGTGAGATGGATTGCAAGGCTCTAATTAATTAGCACTATACCTTTTCTCCCACAGCACTTCAGTAATAAAGTTTAATAAAATGAAATTATCAATTTGATTGAACACCTTCAGAACTTGGATTTTTTTCTAATCTCTTACCTAATGATTCATTTATTTCAAACCAAAACCAGTAACTTTTATTTATTTATTTTTCTTCTTACCATAACAAAAGAAAACCCTTTCCAAAGAGATTGCCAGCCTTGAGGACAGGATGGAACTGAAGTTTTTTGACTGTGGACTGCTATCATCATTGCTGGACCTTCGCAGACAACACATCTAAGTGAGAGACAAACGTATCATGAAGAAAAGGGAGAAACAAACTGCAGCAGACAAATGAATTTGGAAGAAAAGTGCTGATAAGTCAGGTAGCCAGCAGAACACACATGGAATGGAATAATTCATTTTTATTCAGCTTTTTACAAAATCACTTAGCATCTTGATTTTGTTTTTGGAAACCAACAGTTTATCCACTTAGTGTTTCTTATATAATGGTATGTACCAAATAAATAACTATATAGAAATTAGAAGGGGAAATCAAGTAGGAAAAAAATACCTGCTAATATAGGACTCTAAATCTCTTCCAGAAATTGGTGCCATATCTTCAGGCATTGGTGTTTCTGTTGACAACCAGTAGGAGTAATCATTGCGAGAAGCAAATCTGCAGACTGCTTGGGTATTACATAATAAAAAGGGCATAGTAGTAAATCTTGAAAGACAGCTGCCAGTTGTACCTGGATGATTCAGAAGAGAAATTCTGCTGAGTTCAATAAAGTATCCTATTATAGGTATGCTATGATGTTTAGAATATTAGTATAGATGAAATACATACAAGGAAGGGAAATGCTACAATAGAGACAATTCTGGGGGGGGGGGGGGGGGGAATCAGAGAACAAAGGAACAGTGAAGATTTTTAAGAGGGAAATATCAAAAGCTATGGGACTAGAAAACATTCTGGGATTAATTCCTTTGGAACTACCTGTCAGGGTTCCAGCTCTGGGTAAATCAATGTTTCATTTACAATTGGAAGAGAGGCGTTAAAATAAAATAGCTAGAAAAAACATATATCTGTTAATGTGACAATGTGTTTTTTTCCCCCTCTCAGTGTTTTCTCAGAGATTTTGAAACAATCAGCTCATAGTGTTCTAAAACAGTACATAAAGAAATTTAAGAGTAATGCTTAAGGTTGCTGGCTTAAGGTTGTCTCAGCCTTTCATCCTTCCGAGGTGGGTAAAATGAGGACCCAGATTGTTGGGGGCAATATGCTGACTCTGCAAACTGCTTAGAGAGGGCTGTAAGGCACTATAAAGCGGTATGTAAGTCTTAAGTGCTGTTGCTTATGCTGGTAGTTATTCTTGACCAAAACTCTCATTAAGAGATGGAATTACCAGAAATAAAGTTCTTTGATCTGGACAATTCATATGTACACTATCTTCTATACCCTGAAAGTGCTGCAGAGGGAAGATTCATCCTTAAGATGCAGATATAGTCACAATTCTCTGGGAATTTACTAACTAAGACCTATGCTTAGAATTGCACTGTTGGGTTTGTTATTTTAACTAGGACATGAAATGCTTGCTTTTGCATAGCAAACTTTATGTGATATCTTGTTAAGAAAAAAATAAAATAAAGTATAAAAATACCAAGGTCTTGTCCATGTGCTTGTTCATTTCCTTGAACAAAAAGAAGAGAGTAGCCACTATAGATGTGAGTTGTCCCAGATGGACATGTAGGAATGTTTGTTGACTGACTGTGCCTGGAAAAAATGAAGCCTCTTTTCACTGGACTAGTTATGGAGCTTCCTGGGAATCCAGGAAGTCCGTTTGTACCAGGAGATCCAAGCAATCCAGGTAAACCTACACAGAAATTAATTTAAAAAATAATAATCAGAAATATTTGTGAACTTGTTCACCTACAAACTCTGTGTCAAATATACACAATATTTCCATGATTATCTAAGACAAAATCCAAATATTCCATTCCATTTTCTTATAAAAAGTTCACCACTCCTTATTGTAGTACCTTTTTGCCCTTGAAATCCTTTTTCTCCTTTGGGTCCAGGTGGTCCAGTTCTACCTGGAATACCATGACGGCCTGGCTGGCCCATTGTACCAGGAGGTCCTGGATTGATGAATTGAAGAAAAATGTTAACATACGTTCAAAACATACCTAAAAGGAAGGGATCACTCTGGAGAAGATTTCATGCAAACTTATATCAAGACAAGCCCTGAGTAACAGCCGGTAATAAGTCGTCCTCTGTATTTCACCCAGAAACACATTCAAACACAGGTGTTCTCTGAGTTCTTCCAGGATATCTCCTGAGTTCTCTAACAACTGAGATAACAGAAAGACATCCCAACTAAAAGCTTCAAGTAACACTGGGGCAATAATCACCACATCTGATTAATTCAAATAGAGCAGTGTTTTTCAATTGAAAGGACATTTTGACATGAATCAATCTAACCTTTGCTCCTTGCATCTGTTAAAGAAGTTGCTTGTACTATTTTGCTAAGGATGAAAATCATTTGTTAGGAATTCATTCTGTAAAAGCATTGTATCCTTTTCTATCTGGTTTCTCGCCTCTGCAATTTTCTTCAGAGCTAGACAGATCCTTGGAGACAATTCCCAGGAACATCCTGCTCCATAGATAAGCGCGCGGGGGGGGGGGGGGGGAGCTGCCTAGCAGCATGAACACACAAGGACAAGGGATACTGTGTAAAATAACAAAGTATGGACAGAGCACGGACAAAGAACACTCCATGGATAAGGAAGGGGCAAGACATTGCCCACATTAATAACAAACTTTTGTCTCTGATTGGATAAACTTAGTTTCTATCAGCGTAAAATATATATACTCTGAGCCATTCTTGCAAGGTGTGGCTATTCCTTACATGCATTTTGTCTGTATGTTTTGGACATAGTATTCACCCAGACTTTTTGCTTTGGCCAAAGAATAAAAAGGCTGTTATTTTTGCAAGCCTCGTCTCAAGTCTCATTCTTTGGCATCTCCATGGCTCAGGGAAACTTCTGGGACCTTACACAATCTTGGCATCTTGAAAATGTTGGACTTAACTCCCACAATGTCAAGGCCCTCACATTTCAAGTTCCCAAGGTTGAAAAATATTAAAATAGAGGAAAGGAAATTGTACCTGGGAGCCCAGGTGACCCACGGGGACCAGGATCTCCTGGGCTTCCTGGGTTTCCTGGAGGTCCAGCAGGTCCTGGACCTCCTGGGAAAGAAACTGCTTTCACAAATGGTCCAGGCTGACCTAATAATGAAGATACAAGCAAATAAAGGGTTCTTTGTTTATCTGTGTACAATTACAATTATAGATTAATTACAATTCTTTACAATTACAATTATTTATAAGCAAATAATATTATAAATCCAATTCAATTATGTAAAACAGATCATCATTTGCTACCTGGTAGTCCTGTTGGCCCTCGAGGCCCTGCTATTCCGGTTGGTCCAGGTGGTCCCCGATTGCCCTTTTCTCCTAAAAGGAAGATCCTATTATTAGACAAGAATTATATGATTATGATGCCAAAGAATACTTGTGAATTCTATAAAGCTCACATAACTATGGGAATGCATGTCCTAATTTACTATTCTACATCATATTACCAGTTTTGGAGAGAGATTGATGTTATTTGGTTTTGATAATATAGTAGGATTTATCATCAAAGAAATATGCATAAAGATGCACATTCAGTACAAATATCTACGTTGGCCAATTATCCCATGTTTTTGCCTAGTATGTCTTGAACATATGAACATAAGTGAAGATCTTCAAGCCAAACAGCTATGAAATACTTGTTTTGAATCTTTATATTTAATGGCCAGCCCTGTCAAGGAAGTAAGCTAACATGAACAAAACACAGGGAAAGAATCTTTGGACTTCACCCAGGGCAGAAACGGGTCAATTTTACACTGGAATTTTCCTAACCGGATCCAATCCCTTGAATACACTGTCAAAAGAGATCAGCAGCTGAGAATCTCCATGGCAACTAGCAAGAATGTACAACCTGTTTTGACTCTTTTTGAAGTACGCCTCTTTTTGCCTTTCTCGACTCAAATACATTTTGAGTATTTTTTTTTGTAATTAATGTTGGTCTCTTTCTAGGTTTAGAATCCCAAGTTTAAATTTAAGGCTTTTTCCTACTAGCTCCTACTTTATAAGTAGTACAAAACGTGATCCAACTTGATTTCAGAGATAACAAGGACAATACATGTTCACACCATCTCTCATAGCATGTAGGCAGTGACAATAATGAGGTGGTTTCTGTTTATCTTGCTTTCTTGTTCATTGTTGAGACTTTTACTCAGGAAAAAAATAGCAAGGAAATAGACAAGCTGCTCTCTATATCTTAGAGTCAATTTGTAAAATCTTTGTGAGAAATCACAGCTCCAGAGTTGCATTAAACCAAGCCCCTATAAATCATCCTGGGAAAAGTCTTCATTGTGATGAAGAGCTGAAATTAAATTGACAACACTCAAACAATTAATCCAGAAGAAGTTCTCTATCTGCAGTATCCAATTTATATTTCAATCATGATGTATGAAATTTAAGTGGCAAAATATGGCATTCTATAATTAGATACAATAAAAAAATACCTTTTATTCCTGGTAATCCTGGAAAGCCAAGATCACCATCAGGACCCTGATAACCAGGGATACCTTCAATTCCCTATAAATCAGGATAAAAATAGTCTTTATCAGTTTAAACTCATCTTCAATAGATTTTGTAAGGTTTTTTTTTGAAGAGTAGAGAGAGAATAAACACAATCTCAAGCAAAAAGAATCATTGCCAATGGAAAATTGGAGAATATAAACTCAATCCTCAGAATTGCTGGCCTTATATTTCTATTGTCTCATTAAAAGTAAAAGTAGCATGGAAACCAATTCTTTGCCATTATTTATTTAATCCATCTCTAGTTTTAAAATAGGCACCCCCTGTATAGCTTCCTCCCTGTATTCTTAACAATTTTAATTGTTTCAGAACCTACCTTTGCTAACAATTTAATACAACGAAATACAAGTATAGCTATGTTCCTTATTATTGGACATACAGTCTTCTAGATGTTATTCTCAGAAGAATTAGGGCCTCAATAGAAGAAAAATTATCCATATCCTAAACACTCATATTTCAATGAACGTGGGATGAAAATTATTTTTGTATTTCCTCTGAGCTTCCCTGCTCCATGCCTTAACAACAGCTAGCTCTTAATTATAACATAAATGAAACAGTTTATTCCATCTATGAGTGAAACAGCAAAAACAACAAAAAAATCTTAGGACAGTTCACCTGTCTAGTGACACCCACTAATACACATACTAATTCTGCATTGATAGCTAGAAAAATGAAACAGAGTAAAATTCCTGTTTTTTTTTAATTCCTAATTGTTTAAGTTTAATTATTTTTGCAGAATGTGATAGCTTTCCTAGTCAACAGTTTTGCATTGTTGCAAGTCTAAAATATGAAATCAGTGAATGACTAATAAAGGATACTTATTTAACTTACTGGCATACCACATGGGCCATCATCACCTTTCATTCCTGGCAGGCCTGGAATTCCATCTGTTCCTCTGACACCCTTGTTTCCTTTTATACTGTAGCCTGGGGCTCCAGCAGGTCCTGGGCTACCAGGATCACCTATGTTTCATGGGGAAAGTACGTGCATTTGGAAATAGTATATTAACCAAGAATTGTGTTAAATTATATGCATATATATTCTATCTCTTCTATCTCCTTAATAAATTACAATGTATGTATGACACTTTTCACTTTAAAACTGCAAAGTTGGCACTAAGGTCCACTTGCATAGGCAGCTGTCAGAAAGAACAACCACACCATATATACTTAACACAACACAGGCCAAAAACTTTTGGTCTAATAAATATTGTGAAATATTAATAATATTGCACGTACCTCAGGGCAGAAAGTTCCTTAGAATGCTGTAGACAAAACCTGTCATTGAAACAATAGCCCAAAACTCCCATAAATTTCTGTCTCTGACCAGAAAGGCTTTAATAGGGGATTGGATAAATTAATGGAGGACAAGTCTATCAAGCATTAATAGTCTTAAGTTAATGGAGGACAAGTTTATCAAGTGGTAGTAGTCTTGAAGACAGGTTGGCTATATCTTGAATACAAATACATTTATAGGAAAGAAAATGGGGGGGAAATTATGCATCTCTGCCAATATGCAGAAAAATATTGTGGGCATTATGTGCTTTGGTCTGATCCATCAAGGCTATTCTTATGTTTCTATATTAAATGCAGAGATGATTGCACAGTTGGTACATATGCTCCCAAATGTTGTTGTACAGAAGACAGCTGCTTGGCTTTTCAACTGTAAAGCAGAGCAGCTAAATGAAGAGGGAAAAACACCTAAAGTGAAAGTAGGAAAAAACTCACGATGAATCTGATTAGGCATAAGAAATGAATAACTGCATCTATTTTGTAGCAATGATAAGTTGTAGCAAAACGAATCTGAAAGTTGCTGTATAATAATGGCTTCTTACCTGGATTTCCATCTGGGCCAGGAGGACCTCTATTTCCTTTGGGGCTAAGTATTTTGCCTGGTTTTCCTGGAAGTCCTGGTGGTCCAGGTAAACCAGGAGGTCCACCAGGTCCTTGGTCTCCCATAACACCTTTAAAGCCTTGTCCTGGAAAACCAGCTACTCCCATTTCTCCTTTGATACCTTGGGAATGAATATTTTAATCAAAGTTAAGAACATATTGGTCATTATATTTTTAAGGGTACTATGATTTGTTCCAAAAATCCCAAGCTAGTGATGTCAAGAAACATAAGCTGTATCCATCATTACTGCTCCCTTCACAGATGAGTTCCTTTCCACATATTTTCCATGAATATACTTTTTGGTAATACAATCTACTTTCCATTTACAGGAATAATAATGTTGGATATATAAGCCAGTTTGGATCATATGTTATGAATCAGAAGTTACTTCTAAACAGCAATGACCTATCAGCCAAGACTAGACAATTCAGGAATCCTGAAGCATTTTTATTCAGCTCCTCTACCCTGACTCTTCCAGTTAAGATAGCCTGCAATATATAGTCAACCCTGGAAGAGGCAAAATAAAACTACTAACTCTATTAAAAGAAAACATAGGCAACAGTCTATGGGTGTGATACATACCTTAGCACTTAGTATTAGCATCCTATCTGTTGTCTTAAGAAATTCAGGAAAACCTTAATTGTAGTTGTGTGGTACCAAAAAAGCTATTTATAGCAATTCTCTCTCAAAAGAATAATTATTCCTTTTAGAAGAATGAAAGGAATAGTTCTTAAAAAACCCCTTTTTTCTTTTTGTAGTATCCACCCAATTATTGGCTACAATATATCAAAAGTGTTTTATAAAATATATGCAAATATTAAACAACTGTCTAGCTTTCTGATCTGAATTTTCTTATTAGAAAACTTGAAGAAATTTTTTTATGCAACTATATTTCCAGCCTCTTAGTGGGGCTCAAAATCCAGGTGGTGAAAAAGAAAAGCATGTTCTTGTCATATATATATATATACTTAGATTTAGGTACTGTTGTAGTTGAGCAATGAGAGGCTAGACCAGGGCATGGGTGCAACAAGACTTTATTGAAGCAATAAAGGACTGAACGTGTTAACCCTGCCTGGAGCAGGCTCACAGCGATCAGCGGCTGGCCGGACCCCGCAGCTGGCTTTTATAGCCGGCCGTCGAGGGAGGCCAGCCAATGAGGGGCAGCAAACGCCCCCGTAGCATGAACGGACCTGGGTGGGGACTTTGGCAAGTTCCAGGGACATAACACCCCTTCCCCCCAGATGCGAACACGCATAGTCATTTAAATAAGCGGGCGGTCTGTGCTGTCGCCCCGAACGTCGTAACTCCAGTGAGTTACCAAGTGTCTCAGAGTTCAAGGAACCCGGTGGGGTTGGTGATGGGGTGCAGCCTCGCTCTGAGGTCTGCGCAGGTACCGGTGCAGTGCTTCCGGTCGGTGATGTCGTGGCCCCGTCTGTTGGTTCCGGTGGCGGACCCATCGGGCAGTCCCGGTCTACTGCCTGCTCCCTTGGTCCGGGTGGTGGTGGTGAAGAGATTCTGGCATGGTCTCCGATGAGGGTTTGGTGTGGCACCTGGGGGTCGACCTGAGCCCACGATCCGGCACTGGCGAAGGTACCCTGTCGCTTCCTTAGCTGGTCCAGGTGTCTTCTCCATATGCAGCCGTCTTCCAGTTGGACTCGGTACGACCTGGGACCGGTGATGGCTACTATCACTCCTGGAATCCACAGTGGGTCTCCGGCATAGTTTCTTGCAAAGACATGTTCCTGCAAGACAAAATCTCTGACCCCCGTCATTGAAGCGAGAGGGGTGTCAGGGCAATAGTGAGGGTGGAGCCTATCCAACACAGTTCTTAGGCGTCTACCCATCAGAAGTTCAGCAGGGGATTTGTTGGTGACCATGCAAGGGGTTGAGTGTTGGCTTAGCAAGAAGCGGGAGAGTCTGTGATGCCAATCTTCTTTGCTGAATCTGGCTAACGCTTCTTTTGTGGATCTAACGGCTCTCTCCGCCAGTCCGTTGCTGGCAGGATGGAAGGGGGCCGTGAAGATGTGTCGGATGCCAAGATTTGTGGCAAAACAGCTAAATTCTGTTGAGGCAAACTGGGGGCCATTATTTGAAACTATGGTATCCGGTAGCCCGTGTGTTACGAATAGGTGGGTCAGGGCCTTGGTAACTGCTTGCGTGGTGGTTGTGGATAGTTGGGCCACATCGATCCATTTAGAGTATGAATCTACGACCACCAAGAAGGTTTTGCCGTGTATTGGACCCGCTAAGTCAATGTGTAGCCTTGACCAAGGCGCGTTGGCGCTCTCCCACTTTGTGGGGGTGGTGACTGGAGGGGATGGTCTGGATTCCTGACAGGGTTGGCATGAGCTTACCCACTTGACGATGTCGTCGTCCAAGCCAGGCCACCAGACGTAGCTCCGAGCCAACGCCTTCATCCGGACGATGCCCGGGTGGCCCTCGTGTAGTGCCTCTAAGACTGGTGTGCGAAGTGAGGCCGGAATGACGACCCGGGTGCCCCACAACAGGCAGCCCTGTAAGCTAGACAGTTCCTGTTGACGGGTCTTAAAAGGTGTGAATTCGGCTGCGAGGTTAGAGCCCGGCCACCCCCTCCTCACCCAATCCAGTACCTGGGCGATGATTTTGTCCGTCTTGGATTTGGTGGCGATGTCGAGGGCGGTGACAGGAAGGTCGAGCTCGGTGACATCGAAGATGGCATGGACCGGGGCCGGGTCTTCAGCTGGAGCTGGCAGGGGGCAGCGGCTGAGGGCGTCTGCGTGGCTCAATGTTTTTCCTGGGCGGTGGATGAGCTTGTACGAATAAGCCGCCAGGAACAAGGTCCACCTCGTCATTCTGGGAGACAACACTTGGGGAGTCTGCTTGTCTCCAGAAAGAAGACCCAGGAGAGGCTTGTGGTCCGTGATTAGCTCGAAGTTGTGGCCAAACAGGAATTCATGAAATTTCTTAACCGCGGCCACTGCGGCTAAAGCCTCCTTGTCGATTTGACTATAGTTACGCTCTGTCGCTGAGAGCGTTCTGGAAAAGAAAGCGATTGGTGCCTCGGAGCCGTTGGGTAGTCTATGGCTTAATACGGCGCCAATCCCAAAAGGGGATGCATCCGCGGCTAGTACCAATGGAAGGTGTGGGTCAAATTGAATAAGGACCGCGTCTGATGTGAGCAGTGATTTGACTGCACGAAAAGCGGTGTCTTCCTTGTGTCCCCAGTGCCAAGGTGATTTTTTATCTAAGAGCCTGTGTAAAGGCTCTGCTACTGATGCTTTGTGAGGTAGAAATGATGCATAAAAGTTCAATAATCCCCAAAAGGCTTGTAGCTCGGCTTTAGTGGTTGGCGTGGGTGCCTCATGAATTGCCTTGACCTTGGATTCTAGGGGGTGAATGCCTGAGGCGTCAATTCTATAGCCCAGAAAGTCCACCTGTCTAGTGGCAATGGCACATTTCTCCCTTTTTAATTTGAGGCCATGCTGTCTGAACCTGTCTAACACTGCTCTGACTCTCTGGAAGAGTTGGGGCCTGTCCCTGGCCGAGACCAATATGTCGTCGAAGTAAGGCACTACGCCAGGGAGGCCCTGTAGTATACGCTCCATGAGGGATTGGAAGATGCCCGGGGCAACACTTACGCCAAACTGGAGACGCTTGCACCGGAAGGCACCCCTGTGAGTCACAATGGTCTGCAGTTCGGCTGTTTGGTTGTCAACAGGGAACTGTTGATACGCTTGTGACATGTCTAATTTGGCAAAAATGTTGCCAGGCTCAAAGGTATGCAATAAATGTTGAATGACCGGGACTGGGTACGCGCTAACTTGTAGAAAGCGGTTAATTGTTGTTTTGTAATCTGAACAAATTCTCAGGCTGCCATCCTTTTTAAGGGGTGTGACAATTGGCGTCTCCCATTTGGCGAAGTCTGTCGGCTCAATGACTCCTTGTTTTAATAATTTATCGAGCTCTGCGTCCAGTTTAGGCCGAATGGCGAATGGGACTCTACGCGGTTTCAGCCGGACTGGAACCGCTTGGGGGTCAACTGCAAATGAGATGGGGGTACCATTATAACACCCTAACTCATCGCTGAATACGTCTGAGTAGTCAGTGAATAGGGAGTCAGTGTCAGAAGCTGAGACAGCATGGACTCCTGTTAACCCTAGGCCGAGGTAGGGGAACCAATCAAGCCCCAGAAGACTGGGGAGGTTGCCGTTAACTACCACTAGAGGCAGGTGGCCTTTGAAAGCTTTAAAATTAACAAGGAACTTGCCTTTGCCGAGTACTGGAATGTCCTTTCCCTGATAATCCCTCAAGGAGATCTGGCACTTCTGGAGCTGGTTTCTGGATAGTCTGGGCTGGATTTTCTTGAGGGTGCTCCAAGAGATGATTGAGAGCGCTGACCCCGTGTCAACCTCCATACGACAAGGTTTACCTTCTAATAAAATGGAGAGTGTTATTTTACTAATAGAGTGACAGGTGTGGTTAGCATGGTAGCAAGTGTGACAATTTAGTACTTGCCTTTGGGGCCCAGAATGGGAAAAGGAAGGAACCTTTTGTGCTGAGTTGTGCGCGGCCTGGCAGACTCTAGCGATGTGGCCTTTTTTGTGGCAATGGTTACAGGTGGCACCCTTGAATTTGCACGAAGCTCTCGAGTGAGGTCCGCCACAGGATAGGCACAGGATGATGTGTTTGGGTGCACTGTTGGTTTCTTGCCTGGCTCCTGCCTGTGGTTGTTTGGCATGGGTGAGGCGGTGGATGTCTGTTTGATCGTTGGGATCATCTTCGTTGACTACCTCTTCTGAATGAACGGTGGCGCAGCTTTGTTCGGGAACGGGACCTTGAATTTCGGTGGCTGACTGGGTTGCCAGTTCTGCTGCCAAGGCTTCCTCGACGGCCTGGGAGAGGTTGAGGTCCTTCCTGGCGAGTAGTCGCCTTTGGAGGTGAAGGTCTTTGACCCCGCAGACGAGCTGGTCGAGGAGCATGTCATCTAGATAGTTCCCGAACCCGCAGTGGAGGGCTGCAGTCCTCAAGGCGGCCATATATTGGTTGACGGTTTCCTTTTCCGCTTGCTTCCTCATCTGGAAGGTGAAACGCCTCGCGATTTGTGATGGTCTGGGGGAGTAATGATTGGTGAGAATCTCTAGCAATCCTGCCCAGGGGACATTCTTTAACTCACGTGGAGCAACGAGTGCTGTGGCGGTATCAAAAACGACGGCTCCGCAATAACTGAGGAAGAATGACTTTTTTCTGTGCTCCCCAGCATCAGCCAGACCAATAGCATCGATGTAGTGGTTAAAACGATTCTTGTATGACTCCCACTTTTCTTCATCCGGCTTGAATGGTGGGAAGGCTGGGTTGGAGTTCATGATGAGGACTTCTGTACGTTATGCTGTTGAGAAATCTCTCTGGGACAACAGAATGGCACTTTGTGCTCTTGTCAGGCTAGTGACTACAGCTCTGGAGAGGCTCCACAGAACCTCTCTGCTCTCTCTCTCTGGGCTAACAATTGTGGCTAAGCTGCAACGGCTGTTGGCAGCGTTTTGAATTTCGCGCTCCTGGAGAGCGTAGGCGGTAATGGCTAGCCGCCTCTGATAGCGCTTCAAATTTCATGCCTGCGTAAGCGTCAGTGACTTGGAATAACAGCACCGCGCTGTATTCCGGCAAGAAATCCAAACGACAGCCGTTTGAATTTCGCGCTCTTTTGTGTTGAGCGGCTGCGGCTCGCAGCGCTTCACTTTCCCCTGTAGCTTGCTAACCAAGCGGCTACAGACGCTTGTCACTTTCGCTCTTGCTGACCGAGCTCTCCGGCGGCGCGGCTGCGGCTCAGCGGTTTTAGTGATTTCAGCTGTTGCAGATTGCCTCTGGTAGCCATCCCACCTTCGTCGCCAGTGTTGTAGTTGAGCAATGAGAGGCTAGACCAGGGCATGGGTGCAACAAGACTTTATTGAAGCAATAAAGGACTGAACGTGTTAACCCTGCCTGGAGCAGGCTCACAGCGATCAGCGGCTGGCCGGACCCCGCAGCTGGCTTTTATAGCCGGCCGTCGAGGGAGGCCAGCCAATGAGGGGCAGCAAACGCCCCCGCAGCATGAACGGACCTGGGTGGGGACTTTGGCAAGTTCCAGGGACATAACAGGTACCACTTCATAGTGCTTTACAGTCCTCTTTAAATGGTTTACAAAAGTCAGCATGATTGCCCCCAACAAATTGGGTCCTCATTTTACTGACCTCGGAAGGAGGGAAGGCTGAGTCAACCTTGAGCACTGGCAGAATTAAATTTCTGGCTGTGGGCAGAGTTTTCCTGCAATAATGCAATCTTACCACCGTGCTACAATGGCTCTTATATACAGTGTAGAAGATTTTTCAAATTCTGTAATATGAATTTACAGCATCATAGGGTTGTATTGTGAGGAGAATAAGAGAGGAAAGTATGTTGACTATGTTCACCTTCTTGAGTTATTTCTAAAATAAAAAAATGGGATAAAAATAAATAAATTAAATAAATAAGATATGCAGTCTAATTTTACCTTTCGGTCCAGGAAGCCCTTTAGGGCCAGGAATTTGTTGTCCTGACGAACCTACATAATGATATATATTTTTTATTTCAAAAGTAAATTAAAATTTGAAAGGCACTATATTACAACAGTATTAATAAGAAATATGGCTGAATGTTATACTGAAAATTCATATTCTGAAGATTCATAAACAAAAACAAGTTTTTCTATGAACTCATTCAATAATGTTCTTTCTTTCTTTCTTTCTTTCTTCCTTTCTTTCTTTCTTTCTTTCTTTCTTTCTTTCTTTCTTTCTTTTTCTTTCTTTCTTGATAAATTTATTTAGCAAAGGAGTTACTTGCTTAACTAGTTCCAACATGGCTAATACATATTGTGATTTACACATTTCTGCAAAGTAGTTCCAAGTTGCTTTTAATAAATATATAACTGGTTGAAATTCTTGTTCCACGAAGTATTTCAAATACTGTACATTTTAAAAGTACAGCATTAAGAATAAATGAAATCCCATTTTTATGTTCCTTAACATCTTTACAATATTATTTGCTAAATAATGAGAAATAGACAAAGTACTTGAAACAGTTTTGCATCCGGCATCTAACAACAATAACAATCAATTCAAATAATGTCCAATATAGAAATTATGTGGTTAAAACCGCTCCAAACTCGATTGCAGAAAATACGACTTCAGCAACAGAGTGGTCAACACCTGGAACACCCTACCTGACTCTGTTGTTACAGCCTCAATCCCTCACAGCTTCAACCTCAAACTGTTTACCGTGGACCTCATCCCATTCTTAAGAGGTCCTTAAATGGGTCATACAAAGTGCACCAGCGTGCCTATCGTCCCTATCTTACTGTCCCCATTTATCTGTATTTACTTCCTTTGTTCTTTTTTATGTTCATACTTATACTTGTTATCTTGTACATGTTTGACAAACAAATAAAACAAATAAATAAACATTAGCAAAGGTGTCACTGGTAGCCATTCTTTTTAAATAATCTTCTTAAAGGTTAAGGAACTAAGTTAAATTTGAGCATTTGTAAACAATTAAAATAATTTTGCAGGATATCACAACATCAAATTAGCAATTTTTGTGATAATATGAAAAAGATTGCAACACAATAAAAACCTTGTGCTCCCGTTTCCCCAGGTGAACCATGAGTACCATCATGTCCTTGATTACCCTTTTCACCAACTAATCCACTTTCACCAGGCAATCCAACTGGACCTGAGGAAAATAAATTTTAAGAGGCATTTATTTTATATGCATTTCTGAAAATGAAAAAAAAATCACATTTGCTTAATATCATGTATAAAAATAATATAATAGGAGAGTGGTTTGCTAAGCAAAATAAATATATTTTTAGAGATGTCGAAACACTGATACTTGCAAATCAAATTTTGTTTGTCTTTGAAACACTGCAGAAAAAAGTATATTGTGCTTCTTTCTAGAATACTGATTGGAAATGTCTCTGGATTATTAAATAGGATATATACCAAGTAGATGATCTTCCAGTTATTCTTCATCATATATATGTGAATACCTAGACTAAAGCGCTATAATATCAATATCATGTTTGGCTTCGAGAACAATTCATAGTAAGCATGCTGGCCACGTCCACACCCAGTTTAGTGAAGGGGAAAAAGTCCCAATATGTCACATGATGCCACAGTGATGACGTGAGTTTGACACCCCTGATCTATGCCATATTCACCAACAAGAGATTTATTCCTACTAACAGCCATGATATCAAACCAAAGAAGACAGTATGGAAATCTATCAGCTAAAAAGCAGTATGCCACATGTTCAATTACTTTGGTTTCACTGCTTCTGTAGATTGCAAAGCTCTGTATCTGTGCATGTATGCAACATGATATATGGTTGATGGATTGCATTTGAATTATGGGCCATAAGCCACCTCTGCTTCTCAACTGTATTATGCACGAGAAACATTTCCCTTTCAGATAAGAGATAAAAGCCGAGAAGAGATAAAATAGATTCTTAGACTTTCATGCTCTCTATTTAGATAGATAAAAGTAGTTAAAAAATAAATGGTTGCGTTTTTCAACAGTGAAAAATGGGGAATGTTCAGAAGAATTTACAAACCTGGATGTCCTTGAACACCATTTTGTCCTGGCAGTCCTTTGCTACCTTTAATACCATTACTGCCTACAGGTCCTGGTTGTCCTATAAATAGAATATAACACATTGACAAAAATTTTAAAAGGTATTGTAAAAGAGAAAGTGAAGTGGATCTATCTTTTTTACTTCACTGAATATAAGTACTTATGAGTTCTCCACATTGCTTAATGTAGCACGGACAATTAAATGCTCTTCTTTATGGCCTCATCCAAACACTCTCCTTGTCCTGATCCTGAGACAGTCTGATAATAATTTTTGAGATCCCATCCTCACAATGGAGCCTTCCTCTAGTTTTCCAATGAAAGGATAGAAGTCTGAGTCAACCTTGAGCCTGGTGAGATTTGAACTGCCAAATTGCAGGCAGCTGACAGTCAGCAGAAGTAGCCTGTAGTACTGCACTCTCACCACTGCACCATTATGGCTCAGTGCTATTGAGTGCTAATAATCATTTCAAACTGCAGGTGTAAACAAAGGAACAGTACAAACTTGCATCTGAACTGTCTATACACCATAATCCATATATCAGCTGATATTCTTTTATAGAAGAATACTAGATGCTGCTTGAGTATAGTTTTAAAACTCTCAGGAGTTATTTTGTTTTAATGCTTTGCTTGATGTCTAAATAAGTATGAACTACTGGTGTCACCCCAACTTTTTTTGTACTCCTCAGAACCTAACATAATTGAGTTTAAAAAACTAATATAGTTACCTGCCATTTTTAGGAAAAAACATGAAACCTATAGGATTAGTTCCAAAACAGTATGTCTTAATTAAAAAGCAAAGGAAAAAATATATAATCTATAAATCTTTTGTTGACAAAATATTCTCAGGTCTGTGAACTGGCCTCTTACAACCCTCAACCCACCAAGCTTTTAAAGTTTTGTCAACAAAAGATTGCTCCTACCATTCTATTTTACCTGTAATTCCTGGTAAACCAGTATTGCCTCTGTTTCCAGGTAGTCCAGGTTCTCCAATAAGACCTGGGTGGCCTGGTGATCCACGTGTCCCTTTTCTTCCCCTCTCTCCAGGAAGACCTGGATTACCCTAGCAAGTAGCAACAAAATAAAATAGTAACTAAAAGATCAACGAAGGAACCCTACCTGATACAAGGAAATTATAACCAGCTTTCTCTACCTTAGGTCCTGGGTTTCCTGGAGGCCCAGTGCCAGGTTTAGGTTCTCCTTTATCCCCTTGAATACCAGGAAATCCAGCGGGGCCTGCTATACCTGGTAAACCAGGCACACCTGAAGAACCTTGCTGCCCTTTTGAACCTGAAACAACATCAACATTGAAATGGTTTTTTTTTTCCTTTGATTTATTTGAAACTTCAGTGAAGATCCCAACCATCCAAAATCACCAAGTTTACTAATGCAAATATTAAATGAGATGTATGTTCTAATCTGATCTCCAAATCCTTGGTTATAAAATCTGTCAAGACCCATGTGAAGCTACTGCCACTCTTTGTTGCTGTTGTTATTTAGATACTTTAACAAGTTTACCTGCCATTCCCATGTCCCCTCTGTCTCCTGGAACTCCTGGCAATCCATAGATTCCAGGAATTCCTGGAAGTCCTTTAGCTCCTTTAGCTCCTAAAAAGATAACCGATGTTGAAATTAATTGTATAGAATTAAAATGTGATTGACAAGTCTTTATCATAGTCATTACAGTGTCTTTTAGAATATTTCTGATAAGAAAAAAAAAGTAGCCCACAATTGTTGTTTTTTCTATTGCTTCCATTCTTCCAGTTTGTCTTCATTGAGTTATTATTCCGAGAACAATTGCTACCTCTGGAATAGAATAATAGTTAGATAGTGGGAGAAGTCTGATAATGCAGACATTTGAATTCATATTTGGACCAAGTTAATATGAGATGTATTGATAGAGATGTATTCATAAGCAGATTGCTCCTTTTATTAAAATCCCAGATATGCAATCATTGATGACTATCTGTACATCATACCAAGCCGTTGCATAAACACACATAGAGTCACAGAGACATAGTGTTAATTAGCTCTTGGTTTCCTGCCCAGCTAATATAATCTGAGATCAAAGAAAACCTACATACCTGGAGGCTGTAGAGTACCTGGTAGTCCAACAGGACCCACACATCCTTGCACACCTTGCTGACCCTTTTCTCCCTTGAGTCCTGTTCTTCCAGGAGGTCCTATGGTGTCAATGAATAGAATTAATTTTTTTAAAAAAAACAGTATCTTCTTGCTTCAGAATAATAGGCAGAAAAAAAGGCTGCCATGAAATGGTGAATTCGTAGTATAATTTGCTAATTTGTTTAACTATTTACATTTTAATGATAGTATCCATACATTATAACACCACATAATGAGTTTATTTTGTCCTAGTTGTATGAACTTAGCTGCTGACATTCATAAAACACTATTTACAACCTTGGTTTGTTCAATAAATAAGTGGTTAAATAAGTATATGAGAACCAAGCTATATCTATTCAAAACTCTTAAATATAAAATGTTTTTTCACTTGTAATAAATTTTAGAATATGTGAAAATGTTGCTCAGGGTTATATTCTAAGATGGGAGCCATATAATCTTTTGAATAAAAATAAAATGGAACAGCACAATCCATCTCTGTCACAGAGTCTCAAAGCACATTGTCTTCTTTGGAAAGTGGTTCCAGAATGATGAAATTTCCAGTGCAAAAGTGGTAGGATGGCATTTAATCTTTCCTGTTCCACTTTTCTACTCTCCTCAATTTATGTTATAGATCTGAAAGGGGGGGGGGGGAATGCAGTTTCAAATCTTGGTAAGTAAAGATAATGGATTAAATACCATTTTTGACAGTGTTAGTTCTATTTTGTAAGAAGCAACAACTAATCACTATAGAATACAGTGAACGCAGAATGTATATTTCATTATGAAAACCTGCAGAATGTGTAGCATAGTGATAGTATAGCTTTATACCTTTACTTCCTCTCTCTCCTTTATCTCCATAGACCTTTTTGGATTCTGATAGCCCAGGAGGACCTTTATCACCTGGTTCACCTTTTTCTCCCAAAGATCCTTTCCTTCCTTTTGATCCTGGAAAACCTGGAGAACCTAGAAATAATAAATTAGGATGAAAATTTTTTTGCCACTGGATTCAAATGCTAAATGAGACTGAGAGTTTCAGGAAGCTAAGAATACAGAGTTGGGTGTTTAAACATTGAGTCCAATTTCTTGGAAGATAAAAAATCTATGCTTGAATATATCTAGATTTCAGAGTACAGGGTGATAGATGAAAAACCCCAATGGTGGGTATATTCCTATTCTCTATCTTTTAAAACTTCCTTCCTTCCTTCATTTTCCAGTTGAAATTTTTCTGTTTCATCCAGTTGAAACTTTTCTGTGGCATCCAAAACTGCGGGGTGGGGGTGGGGAACACAACTAGAGGTTTCTGTTTTGGGAACATATTGGCTTCATGCCTAAATATTTAATGACAAAAACAGTCTTGTTCCATTTGCTTGTTTACAGAGATTTCATAGGTTCATTTATTGATTTAATTTTCAAACAATTATATTAGAGGAAATAGAAAGGAAATTTGGAATACTCATGATGGCCTTGTTATACTGTAAGCATTTTTTTTACCTCTGTAATACTTGAATATATCTAGATTTCATTTGTTTTTTTATGTCCCATGTTTCTACAGTACATACAGAAACAGATATACAAATAAAAGCAATAGGACTATTATTAAACTCTTCCAAAAGGCTTGACTGAAGATAACAATCTAGTTTTCCCCCCTGTAGGGGAGTAAGTAGGAAGGAAAGTAAATTCCCAAGAGAATGTCATCCATTCTCCTTCTGTGTTTCCTGGGGGTGACGTAAATGATGTCAAAAACCTGGAAAGCTTCTAAGAACAACAAAGAAATGAAAAGTTACCTACAACCAATTATATCTACTTGTAGACTGAGTTTTCATGCAAAAATCCCATTCCTCATTTCAATGCATAGGGACTACTTGAGAAATAACATGACAAATTATGCCGAAATGAAACTAGTTAATTAAACTACTATGTTGATGGGAAACAAGTGTGATTCTACTGACAGGTCTTAGTATGACTCCTGTGTGCCTTTCATCAGTTCAAATAGTATGGACTATGGGGTAATATTTTAGAACCAGAGCCCCAGGTAAGGCAAACACTGCACAACTTACCTCTGCCTCCAGGGATTCCTGGATTTCCAGAGACACCAGGCAATCCAGGGCTACCCACGTGTCCCATCAAACCTCTTTCTCCTCTGAAACCTACCAGAAGTGAAGCAAACACATCCATAGATATAAGAAGTATTGCCCAGACACTCAAAGGCTTTGTATGACCTTTGAAAGAAACCCAATTTTTACTTTAAAAAGAACCCCATCATTTGCATATATGTTAATAGTATAACATGACCTTTATTAAACGGCAATGAATACATTAATTATATCAAGATTAATCTTGCTTAAGGAACATTTACCTGGTGTGCCTGGCTTTCCTGGCTTACCACACTGTCCTTTGACGCCAGGCAATCCTTTATTTCCTCCAGGGCCTTGTGATCCAGGAAGTCCAAATCGTCCTGGAAATCCTGGGATATCTAATCCTGGAATACCTGGATCTCCTTTGGCCCCTATTGTTCCTCTGCTACCTAAAATAGCATACATTATCCGATTCGCATTTTCAGAAAAGAAGAGGCTTCCTTTTATCACAAATGAAGGATTACATTAGCATTTCTATATAAAAAAAGTAGAAGTCATCCTTTCCTGTGTGGTCACAGAGCCTATTAACAAATTTAAAAAGTTTGTTGTAATATTTTATAATAGAAAATTTCTTACAGTCCTGACAAGAAAAAGCAACCAACTCCAATTTCATTGGACCATCAGATTCATGTTGAAAAAGCAGACCATCCCTACACTGACTTTTATCTTTGGATTGTTTCTATAAAGTGTTAGTAAAAAGCAGGAGCAGAATAATTTGGCACATCACTGACATTACATTAATAAAGTATGAATCTTCTGCCTTAATAGCATATTAATTATTGTTGTCTGTTGAAGAAAAAAACAAGATCCCAAACCAGTGGTGGGATTCAAATTTTTTTACTATTGGTTCTGTGGGCATGGCTTCGTGGGCATGGCATGGCTTGGTGGGTGTGGCTTGGTGGGCATGGCAAGGGAAGGATACTGCAAAATCCCATTCCATTCCCACCGCATAAAAGAAGTTCCAGCCGATCAGCTGGGACTAGGGAGGCAGAGAATAGATGGGGGCGGGGCCAGTCAGAGGTGGTATTTGCCGGTTCTCTGAACTACTCCAAAATTCCGCTACCGGTTCTCCAGAAGTGGTCAGAACCTGCTGAATACCATCTCTGATCCAAACTAAAACAGTTATTTTAGTCATTCGAAATATAAAAACTATAAAAAACAATAATATATCACATAGAATTTCCCTGTTGGCGAATCACCATTTTCTGTAAGTACTACAATTGTCTGCTCTTGCCCCAGCATATTTTCTGCAAGTATACAAAGCAATACTACCAGAGAAAATCTATGGTTTGAACCTATAATACAATTGATTTAGGAACACTAGATGGTTGATTCATCAGAGTGCTCATTGCATGATCTTTGTGGGCAATAATATTGTCAATTGTTTGCCAGGCTGTGCTTTAGGGAAACTACTGTATTTTTAAAAAATTGGCATGTATATACTAGAACAAATTACATTGCAGCCAACTTTTTGTGCTAGTGAAAGAAATGACTATTATGATTTCTTTCATTTGATTTTTTCTAATTTATTTGGGTTAGATTTTTATATTCATAACACTATAATAAAATGCTAAATATTTCATTAATTTGACTTACACTGATGCAATGCCCTCCATGTTTGAATATAATTGTTATGTACCTTGCACAACTGATATTAGGAACAGATTAGGCTATCAGAGGACTGTTTATTATATATCATGCTATTAAATTTTTAATACATTATTGATATATCAGTGTTACCATATTTGTACATCATTACCTTGTGGTCCCATTGCTCCACATTGACCTGGTGTTCCTGGTAAACCAATGAGACACTGGCCCATTTTTCCTGGAAGACCTTTTTCTCCTGGAGCTCCAGGACCTCCAATCTCCCCTGGAAGATATTCATCATATTCAATTTATTTAAAATTAGTACCCTTCCACCTTAATGGTCTGTGTGTCTGTGTCTGTCTGTCTGTCTGTCTGTCTGTCTCTCTCTCTCTCTCTCTCTCTCTCTCTGTGTGTGTGTGTGTGTGTGTGTGAGAGAGAGAGAGAGAGAGAGAGAGGTGGAATATAAAAATGATCAAAGCAATAGGAGAAGAAATACTTGAGAAAGCCCTTGTAGGTTACCATTGGACTCAGAGTCTTCAATATAGTTCAATATTATAAGAGGACAAGGTAATACTTCAACCAGGATATCAGCAATTAGCAATCATTCATCTATGTTCTCCCTAGCAACCAGGTCAGAGCAGTTTCTTATACATAGAAACACATTTCAAGATATTTTGTGACTGTTATTAGAATATATTCCATGGCAGGGTGGGCAAATGTTTTAGAAAAACTTTCCTTTTAAAAGTTAAAACAGGTTGCTTCAAGACAAGGCAGTTGTTTTGCATTCTATGAATATTTTCACCACTCTGGTGTGCCACAATTTTCAGAACAGTGAATTATTATTTGTTACTCTTTGATAGTAAAAAGAACTAGAAATATTTCAGTCCCAAAATACTTTCTTAAATAACTACTCATGTATGATGGACAACTTGAAACAGGTGCTTCTGAATACAGGATGATCAAAACTAACAGGCTTTCACAGTGGCATACTTCAATTAGATTATTTTAATTACAAATAGAAGAGATCAGTCAGTTCCTGCTCAGTTTTTGTGAGTTGCCAAGCAGATTGCTTTGCCTCTGAAAATGTCAGCCATAGTTTGCTAATGAAATGTCAGAATATCAGATAATTATACCATGGCCTACTAGCTCATAAGCTTATAATCACTGAATCAAAACTAACGTTCTGCACATCACTTGTTCTGACACTATAGCAGCCATCACCATATGTAATAATAGTGAATTCTACTGTTGAGTATGTCAACATAATTTTGTGAATGTTTCCAGCATAGGTGCTCTGAGATAGAAAGGCTAACTAATCATTTTAGATATGGTCTTTTATCATATAATCCGATTTGGAGAAATGTACCTTTTGGTCCATCAGCTCCTTCAAAACCTTTTTGACCTGCAGGTCCAGGTAAACCTGATGATCCTCTTTCACCCTTTTCACCGAACTTTCCCTCTTCTCCTGGTAAGCCAAGACTTCCATGCTGTCCAGGAATAACTGGACCTGGTTCACCCTGGGGCACAGAAAAAGAAAATGTAATGTTACAACTAAGCATTAAGGGAAACAGGACAATGTTATTGTTAGTAAATCTATTTAGCTTTTTCCATCACAAAAAGCTATGGGACTGGAATTAAGCATTTTAACTTACCTATCTTTCCTCATTACAAATTATTACTTTTAACATTACATATACTGTGTATTTAGCATATTCATTTACATACACAGAACTAAATACATATATATTTCCCTGCTCCCTCCCTTTTCTGTTTATAAAGGGGGTGTCAAACTGGCAGCTGGATGCATCACATGCAGGCCACGCCCACTCTCGCTCTGCGAATGGGAAAAATGTTTATGAAATGTCACATGACAGCAATGTGACATCACTAGTTTGACACCCATGTTGTATAGTAATGCTTTATAAATCCTATCTTCTTTTCTGTCTCTTTCTCTCATTCTCTCTGTATATACAATATATATTCATGTCTTGTTTTTATGTTATGTTGATAGTGCAGCATCACTAATTATAATAGTTAAATCTAATAAAGGAAATATATTAATGGAATGCAGTTGTTCTTACATTAACTTTATTGCGGGAAAATAAAAACATTTGTATCATCTTAAAGTCTAACATACTTATTATAGCACAGCTTTGCAATTATTGATATATACAATATTTCCAAGCAATAAATTGTTAAATCTATTAAGAATTATGTTGCATATTTATTGTATTGAAATATTTTTTAAAGTTCATAACATCAAGAAATGTTGAAGAAATTCTGAACATTGAGAATATGACTCACTGACTTAAATGAACCCAACTTTTAAGCTGTATCACACTTCCCACACGATACAAATGTGGCTATTTCACACCTCTACAATTAAACGTTGCAGTTTCCAGCAAGCTTCATCAGAGGATTGAATATAGTCTCAGCTGGGCAATTTATACTAACATTTTTGAAAGTTTTGTTCATGATTACAGGAGCAAGACTTTCATTGTCTGTTGTGGTGGGACAGGATAAGTTTCATTGTCCAACTGAGATGCAGAAAACCACATCTTGTGTTCCTTCCCATCTTAATTTATATGGTCACCCATCTCACAAACAAAAAACTCAGCATAATATAACAGAGCTAAAATCAGTTAAATAGTTATCTCTTTCTAATTGCCAGGACAGGGAAACAAGGAAACAATTCATTCAAAAGGTAACGAACATTTTTCTAGTGAAAAGAAGAACTTGGGGTGACATGATAGCAGTGTTCCAATATTTAAGGGGCTGCCACAAAGAAGAGGAGGTCAACCTATTCTCCGAAGAACATTAGGGCAGAATAAGAAATAACAGATGGAAACTCATTAAAAACAGATCCGACCTTGAAGGAATTTCTGATAGTGAAAAAAATTAACTAGTGGGACACCTTGTCTCCAGAAGTTGTGAGCAAGGGTGGGATGCTACCGGTTCTGCCCGGTTCTAAAGAACCAGTAGCTCTGAAGAGCAGCAGACACTGAACTGGTTCTGTGTTTGCTGCTGTTTGGCTCACCCGCCTGCCTGGGCTCTTACCTGTCCTTTATTTTCTGCTTTTTCAACCTCATTTGCTTTGCACGGCACAGCTGAAGTTGAAAAAGCAGGAGAAAAGAGGCTTTTCAAATGCTGCGCACCCATGCACAGCACTTTTCAGATGTCTGGGTGGCACAGTTTAAGATTTTTTTACACATGCGTGCAGTGTGCATCAGCTGTGCATGCGTGCATGCGCATGCAAAACATAGTCACCAAACCGGTAGTAACACTGGTTCAATCCCATCCCTGGTTGTGAGTACTCTATCACAGGAGGTCTTAAAGAGATTGGATAGCTGTTTATCTGAAATGGTATAGGATCTCCTGCTTAAATAGGGGGTTGGATCAGAAGGCCTCTAAAGTCCCTTCCAACTCTGTTATTCTGTATCTCTGCCTATTTTAAAATGCACCTGAATAATTTGTTTCCCTCTTCCCCTTCCCCGTTTGTCTCTCTGTTTCTAAAATAATACATTGTCAAACAAACCTTTTCTCCTGGCACTCCAGGTTTTCCAGGTAAGCCAGGTTTCCCTGCTTTTCCTAGACAACCAGGTATTCCTTTAGGTCCTTGAGTTCCTTTATCCCCTATAGAGAAAATATTATTAAGTGGCTGGTATTTACTAAACTTTTACAATGACTTAGATTTTTATTTAATTTCTTCTAAAGCAGGTTTAGTAAGCATTCAAATACAGACATTATGTAGATTTTGCTAAGTATACATTATAAAATAATATGCAAACTCTTCTTTGCAAATTTACCAAATATCAGTTTTATTATCATAGCAGAGAAAACAAGTATATCAGAATCTCAAAAGTAATGTAAGACAAGGAAAGCTGTTTTTCATTTTTATAGCAAACCTGTGGAACAAATCAGACAGAATTGGATCTTTTAATGTCAAACTGCTATGAATCTGCTTATTGAAAAGGATGTAGCTATAGTATCCCAATGTAGATTATTATAATACAGACCAAATTCTGTCTGATATTTTTATTTTACATAAAATATGTTACCTTTCTGACCAGAACAACCAGGAAATCCATTCTTTGCTAAGCCTGGATCTCCATCTTTTCCAGGAAGACCTGAGTCACCCCTTTGTCCTCTGGATCCCATGTTACCTATCAAAATGGTAACGATCAGAAACCAAAAGGATTCTATAGCTTTAAAACAACTTACAATAGTTAAAATTATAATGTCGCTAGATTTTCTTGAGTGGTGAAGACACCCAATTCATTGATATCAGGGAAACTACACCCCAAATATATCACTGAACAAAAGATAGTTTTAAAAAAACCTAGTATATGAGAAATTGTATCTCAGATTAAGCTGGGGAAGGGGGCTTTCAGATCTTAGTCATACTTAAATCGATATATATATATATATATAAGCGAAATACCACTCATGCATCATCACAAAATCTCCAGAACTGTAAAGCCTACAAACTTGAAATTTGGCACATATGTTTCTTTTGGCTTCTAAGTGCTCACTAAGAAAGGATTTTTCAAAATGACCACCAGAGCATTAGTATTTCATATATTATTATTAACATACTCTGATGCTAAGAAGTTCTATTCCCCCTCCCCACCTGAGAAGAAATCTGTTCCGAATGGCAAAACACAAGCAAAGGAGAGGAATTTCAATTTCAGTTTTAGTTTCACAACAGAAACCAGCTTTAGTACAAAACACGCCTAAGCCACAACTAGGCTCCTTGCTGTCTCCTTGCTCACACAGCAAATACTGCTTCAGTTTCCAAACAGCCCTCAACTCTCTCACACACTAATGGGAGGCTAGCCATATGAATACCAATGGATGCTGGTAGACAGAGGCACATTTTTTCCCCTTATTTTCCTCCCAAAAAACTAAGCCTAATCAGATAGTTTCATAGCGAAGCATGGGTATAGAGCTAGTAACTATATAGTAGTTGTTTACAGTAATAGGATAAAAATGTTCAGTATAGACTGTCTGGTTTTCCTTCAGAAACATTCCACTCTCTGGATTTGGCTGAGGACTGAATTACATGTTGTTCATATAGCAAGGCAGGTAATATTTTGGCAACTGAGGCATACTTTCTTAAAAATCTCATCTCTGTGATCTACAAGGGATGTAAAAATAATGCAGTGACATCAGAGCTGAGATGTTTAAATGATATAATGAAAATGATGCTACTGAAAATTGGTGGTTTGCTACTGAATACTAACAGTCCAATTTGGAAAGGCAGATGGCAAAAATATGCTCTGGGCTGGAATGGCATAAAAATCTTGCTTTTTTTCTAACTAATGGTGCCGCTAAACCATATATGCCAAATGCTTAATTACAGAGATTACTATCATGAGAGCAAAGCAATTGCCTTAATTTGTAGATATTGGGAAGGCGATTATGGACCTTTAGCCTGTTCTTGAATGTCCTTTTCCTCTCCATGAGATTTTAACAGCATATGACAAGTATTCCTCTTTGATTATTTAAGATAGCTTGCTGCCTCAGTTGTAATGGAAATCATTACCATTTCCAATGCTAGAACTATGATTCGATGCTAGTCCAGACAATTGGCTTGATGATGAAGTTCACAGCCTTTTATGTTGATGCTGAATATAAGATATTCCAACATTTGGCACTATTTGAATAATTCTTACCTCTTCTTCCTTGTAGTCCAGGTGTACCTTCTGGCCCTTGAAGCCCTGGTGGTCCAGGAATTGCCTTTACTCTAGCAGGGTCCCCTTTAGAACCTTCAATATAGAATAGAATAGAATTCTTTATTGGCCAAATGTGATTGGACACACAAGGAATTTGTCTTGGTGTATATGTTCTCAGTGTACATAAAAGAAAAGATACATTTGTCAAGAGTAAAGAATCATAAGGTACAACACTTAATAATAGTCATAGGGTACAATAAGCAATCAAGTCATACTAGGAAACAGTAAATATAAATCGTAAGGATACAAGCGACAAAGTTACAATCATACAGTCACAAGTGGGAGGGGGTGGGTGATAAGGAGCGATGAGAAGATTAATAGTAATAGTAATGCAGACATAGTAAATAGTTTGACAGTGGTGAGAGAATTATTTGTTTAGCAGAGTGATGGCATTCAGGAAAAAACTGTCCTTGTGTCTAGTTGTTTGTATTTTTCAATTTCAGTAAGAACAACAAATCATACAACTTGCATTAAATATATCTTGAATTTATTCAAGCATTTATTCTAGACTGGTTCTTTTGTGCTTGTACACTGGAATAAAATCTTGTTAATTAATGTCATTCTCAAGTCAGAATAGATGGGTTTTCCATAAGTTCTGAATGATTCTTACTCCTATCTGATCTGGTCGGATGGCGAGATATTCTCTAAAGATATTCTACATAAATACATCAGAAGCAAACTTACACTTTTCAGTAAGAACAATGGAGATGAAACAAGAAACTACATACCAGATACACCTGGTAACCCAGGCAATCCAGGATTTCCTTCAGATCCTTTTGAACCATTCTTTCCTTGGGGTCCATATCCTGGTGGTCCAGTTAACCCTATCTTACCACGAAGACCTGGGCTGCCAACAGGTCCTGGTAATCCCCTGTCACCTTTTGGACCATCTGATCCCTACAAATAATTTATAAATCATTGTTTAGTATGCATTAACTAACTTCCCAAGTAGAAGCTTATGATGACCTCTTTCGCAATGGACACATTAGTACTGGTCCTTCCTTCTCTAAGTTTCACTCAGAATCTCAAATGATCATTCATAAGGACAGCATTGTTATCTGCAATTATATTTATTGTATTTTTACTTAAATATTACAAAACATACTTCTCTGTTTGAGAACCCTGCTAAGGCCTTCATTAAAAAATATTGGTAAGGAGCCAGGAAAAAAGGTTAGTTGGGTCATAAGTAATTCCAAAGCACCAAATCATTTTGGTATTAAAAGTACCAAGGAAGCACATCATGTTTCAAAATCCCTCTTCCCCAAAATACAATAGTTAAAATGGCAGCTAAATAGCAAATTGAGGAAAGGAGTCTAAGGTCTACAATAGTGGGCTTGTATGTAGTCAAAAACTTGTTCATCCACAAGGTTATGTATTGTTGTATGAAGTTTAAATACTGTAGTATTCACAGTAAGCTTGAAAGAAGTGAATATATAAAATATTTTACAATTGCATAAATTATCCAAAACAATGCATTTGGATGCAGCTGTGATCAGCACAGAAATACTGTAACTGACATTATAATGTTATTTTATAAATGTATTTATCTACTTGCAGAGGCTGCCTAACTTCTCAGCAATTGTGGATCACTTGCAAATAAAAAGGGACAACATATAGAAATACAAGCAAATAAAGGGACCTGGCCAACATGAAAAAATATATATCACAAATGTGGAAGGTATGTGAATCTTTGTGGGGGTATCATTTCAGACAGCAGGTGATGCTAAAAAGAAGGCATGCTTATTGTATCTGCAGGGTGATGCTATTGAAACAATAGGACCTGGACTGCAGCCACCATGTCTGACCATACTGGAGAAACAATTGGAGATAAAAAGTTCCTCAGACAGGCAGGCCCCATGACATGAAGAGTTTTAAAAGTGATAACCAACATCTTGAATTGTACATAGAAATAGACTAGCAATTTGTTGAACTTGCAAAGCAGTGGGATCATGTCAGCATAATGCAGTGCTCCTATCTTTGTTATCACATTTTGGCCCTGCTGTAGCTTCTAGATGGTCTTCATGGATAGTCCCATGTAGCATACATTACAGTAATCTAATCATGAGGTGATTGGGGAATGAGTATTTGAACATCAAAAGTCAGTAAGAGAAAGTTTAGAACACATTTTTCTTCAGTAAAGTAAATATATATATATATATATACACACACACATTTTTACATACATACATACATACATTTTTGTTTGATTGTAGAGAGAAGAGAAACATTGCTATTGATCACTACTATTGTTTATAAATTTCATGTTCTTCAAATCCCATAGTAAGATAATAAGATTAAAGGGTTATCACATATATAACATATGTACCTAAAAATAATAATGAACTTTGCAAGAGGTCCAAAGTAATACACCAAGTGAAAGAATGATCATCATGGAGAAAATTTACGGGATCGCAAAAAATCTATAATAACTTGATGGCACATAATCCATCTATCTATTAAATCAAAGAATAGAACAAATGGTAAGATTACCAACCCGTATTCCAGCAGAACCTTTTTTGCCTTTTTGTCCAGGTTTCCCAGGTATTCCATCCAAACCTTTTTCTCCTGTTTTTCCTCTGATTCCTGGTTCTCCATTATCTCCTTTGGGACCTTCTGGATGCATTAAGTTTGCATCTCCTTTTGATCCTTTAACACCTTTGTTTCCTGGAAGGCCTGTAAATCCCTAGACCACATATCATCAACACAATTTATCAATAAAAAGTATATTATGCACCTGAGTTTTGCTAAACTAATATTGTTCTGTAAGCAAGTTATTTCTGTCAGAGGAGACAGGGAAAGTATCCTTAACTATGCTTGCTTGGTTAATATATCCTTAGATGATTGAAATATATTACACTGAGGCTAACTTTAAAATTATTTTGAAATTGCATTTGGTACAGAACAGCACTTTAAAAACATAATTGGACAAAATACTATGACTATATTAAATATGTTTTGTCAGCTGCACTGGCTCTTAGTTAACTTTCATGCCCACATTTTATTTTGTTAATATTTAAACTTAAATTATTTGGATTAAGTTGAGATAGATTTTGTCCTGCCTTATAAATCTTACAGATTTCAGAGTTCCAACAGCAAGTTCTAGAATAAATGAAATAAACCAGGGATGTCAAAATGGATTTCTTCGAGGGCCGGATCAGCATTGTAGTTCTCCTCTGCGAGCCAATGGCAAGGGATGGGGGGCGGGAGGGGGGGCGGTAAAATGGATGTCTCCTGTAGCACCCTGCCAGCCAAAATGGCACCCCACCCTGCACCTCATTTTCACCCTCCATAGCCTCCTGCAGCACTGAAAACAAGCCATGTGGCCCATTTGGGGGCCAGGTTTTGGATGTTTTCAGCCCATTGTGCCCCTGTTTTTCAACCCATTTTTCAGCCTGTTTTGGGCCCATTTTCATCCCATTTCTGGCCAATTTTTTGTCCATTTTGGGCCATTTTTTGACCTTTTTAAGCCCATTTTTGGTCCATTTTTCGGCTTAGTTTCGGCCCGCTTTCAGCCCATTTTATTGGATCTGTTACGGCCACCAGAGTGTTTCAGGAAAGTGAAAACGAGGTATAGAGGGATGCATGTGGCCCATTTTAGCTGACTGTGGGCCAGTCCCTTGATATTTCCAGGCTGGCCCCTCATGCTTTAAGCACCCAGTGGGCCGGATCTGGTATGCAGACCTTGAAATAAACGAAACCAACTCTAATTTTGATGGTGGACAAGTAGGGAACAGTCTACTGTTTACAAAAATTTTCTGGGGAACTTTACTAACAGGTCTTTAAAATAATTTGACCTGATATTTTCAATTTAATATGTGTCTGTAGAGCTCCATGATCTATCAATACATTGATGCATTTGGCTCAGAAAATCCCCACTGCTTAAAACTGTAATTACATTACATATAAAAGAGGTTCAATAACAAACTTACTTGATCTCCAGGAGGCCCTGGATGTCCAGGAGATCCTGAGAATCCTTTAGGACCAAGTATTCCTTCCACACCTAGAATAATTGTATACCTATTCAATTGTATACCTATTATCTTGTAAGCAATTGACAAACCAAATAAAATAAATAAACAAACAAACAAACAAATAAATAATGAAAACACTAAGATTTAGAAATAACTTAAATTTAATTAAAAAAAACCACGATAAAGCACCTGAACAAATGCTACCACTGTTGATAAAGTTTAAGCAGATAATAACAGATTGGACAATGAACAGGAAAAATTAAAGTTGATCATAAAAATATTAATATATTTAATCCCTTCTAAGAATATAAGGCATTGGCATTAAAATATCCTTAGACAATACCATGTTTGAAAATTTGAAAATTCTTATTTTTTCTTTAGATGTGTTGTGGCAGCATGTTAATATATTATGCATGGCAGCATTTTAATTATTTTTTTCAGGACTATTTAATGTACATTAGCCAAAGCAGAAGACACTCCTCCTGCTTTAAATGTGGCATCGATCTGAAGGTTTGGCACAATTGTATCCAGGGCTGCCCTGTTATTCTCTGAATTAGCAGAACCAGATTGCAAGATTTTAGGTGACACCTGAATAGCAGTAAAATATTAGAGTTTTCAGCCTCTCTTTTAAGCCAACTAGTAGAAATCCAGACTTTCAAAGCCCAGAGTTGATACTTCTTGTTCAGATGCTTCATATGAGTCTACTAAAGGCATCCTTTTTACATTGTATTCCTACCAGTGCCCAGAAGCTTTCTGATCTTACATTTTTGTTTGATTGATTACGTCATTCCCTTTACCAAACAATGCAATAAAGTACATGCTTTCAATGATAATTAATTGAATAGATAACAAAATATTTCATATTTGTATTTTCAGGTCTACCACTTCCAAACCTGTAGACTGATATATTTCAATCGTTAGTAATATTTAAGTATCACCTGCATTTTTTACCTTTCCTACCCTGCTGACCCTCTTCTCCAGCAATACCGCCAAGGCCAGGTTGTCCAATAATATAAGTACATTCGGTACATGGGCCTGATTCTTCACCTACAATAACATTTTGTCACATGGGTAAATCTTCACTGTATCAAAAGTATAAGCAGCTCAGAGAAACCTATATGCTTATCTGCAATGAAAACGGAGTTAAATAATGTCATGAACCTAATCAATTGGGCATTAATTCTTTTGTGCTCAGCAATGTAGCAATGAGCAGATGTCAAAAATATTTTTTGTACAACAATTGTTAACAGTAAGCAACTGATTTAAAGATAACATGGCTCCAAACTGCAAAAAGAGACACCTTTTTTGAAGACCAATATATGTGTCCCAGGATAATGCTGCAAGATCCAATCTGGGTTGGGCCCTAGGGCCAGACGTTTTGTCTTCCAAGCTTTTGGAGTCATGCTGGAACTCATCTTCAGGGAACTTCTCTCTAGCACGAGTCCTACAGCTTGGAAGACAAAGCCTCTGGTCCTGGTGACTGACCCAGATTGGATCCTGTTGACACCTTTTTATCAGATGTTTCATCTCCTGTTCCTCAAGTGGTCATTGTAGCACAAATGAAACTCTTCACAGCAAACCTGTAAGACAGTTTATTCTGAGAAACAATGACCATGCTTACATACCACACAGAATTGCCTGTCAGTTTGCACAACACATTGCATTATTACAAATTAGATAATCCCACTTGAGTCTAGTGTGTTATATGTCTTCAGAATCCTAGTTTTATTTATTTATAATCTGCCTTTCCTTTAAGAACCGATGATAACATACACAGTACTCCTTCCAGTTTTTTCCCCCACAACTAAAACTTGTGAGTTAAGTTGGGTTTAGAGATAGTGATTGGCCCAAGTCATTCACTGAGCTTCCATAGCTGAGAATCAATTTGAACCTGGCTCTTAACACCACCACTAAATGGGATTAATTCAGTCAAATATAGTCATTTAAACTGTGTATAAATATCTTGTGTAAATAAATCCTTTCAATGTAATCTCTACCAGCAAAATGCACCATGCACTTTTTTCTCTCCTCTCCCCCTCCTCCGTTAGTTTTGTGGAAGAAACTAAAAATTTTATGCTTGCTTTCCTTAAGTTCTAACTGGAGGCTGAGAACGGGATTCAATAACTTCCTTATCTTGAGTGGATACTTTCTTGTGACATTTGGACTGGTGATGACATAGAACTTACATACAGGGATCAGAAAACAATTAAGGTGATTTATCCTGTTTTTCACAAAACAAAGAGAAATTGAGGGAATCCTAAATGTATTTTTAGACTTCCTAGTTGGTAGAATTGATGATTCTGCTGAAGCTCTGTACAATTGTTCCTACATCCTATCTAATGGCTAAAGACTAGAAATGCTTCCTAGTTTAAGATTTATGGACATGAAAGAGATCAGAAGATGGCTAGTGTGAAAAGTAGCAGAAATCACAAATTTATATCTTCCCAATTAAATTTCAACACTTTGATTCCAACTTATGGTACATCTGGTTTGGTCAATAAATAAATGATAATACCAACAACTAAGCTAATATAAGCAATTTGGTCATTTAGACATAATATGTCTTGATAGAAAGAAACTAATCTAATCCCATTCATATGTATCTTAGATTCCCAAACTAATAAAATTTAGAAATATATTCGCAACAAGGGAGCTGACCTTTTTCTCCATCATCTCCTAATAGGCCTGGAGGACCTATGCATCCTGGGCTTCCAGGAGTTCCTTGTGGACCTTTTTCAAAAGTTATTGTACCTGTTTGTGATGAAATAAATAAAATATAACTTTTTGTCTTGTTCATAACAGTAATGGCAGGCAATTGATATTCCTCTCTGAGGTTGAAGATCAATTCATTTAATAGCATTAACAGTATAGAAGATGGAAACCATTCCAAAGTTATTGTTGGTTTAGCTTTTTGTCAGCAGGTCTGAAAATAGGGGACCATATGTCCATTTCATTATTCTAAGGTAATTACTGAATATCTGCTTTCCCTGAAATAGTAAAATGAATATTGTTTTGAGTTATTTTGCATGTTAAGATGGCTGAAGTAGTGCAACATATAAAGAATAAAATTACTCATGTCTGTTCTGCTTCTTCCACCTTTTCCAGTATTAGAACCTTCTCCAGAGATATTTGCAAGTGTCCAACATAGAATAATGTGAGCCTATTCATTTGTATCTCTAAGGATTGATTTGTTTGATGATCCATTTGTTTGTTTGTTCCTTGGCTATTCGTAGTATTCTTAGGAGTCTTCTAACACCAACATTTTAAAAAGTCAATATTCTTCCTATCTCACTTCCCCAAAGTTCAACATTCATTTCCATAGAATGTCACCAAAATACCATTGCTTACACTTTTCTGATCTTTGTAGCCACATTATGGCTTTTGATTGAATATCTGTTCCATGTCTTTCGTAGCTGCTGTATCAATTGCTAGGCTGTGGTGTATTTCTAGATTGGTTGTAAGATTTATCTAAATTCTCAGAGGGATTCATATGTTTGGAAATATATTGAGAAAAATCTTATGGGATGGCTAGGCTGCTAGAATTCTTTATTTAAATTATGATTTAAATGGGGATGGATTTTTTGACTTTCCTCAGCTCCGTCACTGATCTTATATTTCAACTTCCTTTTGCTTTTGGAATCAAATAGAAATTTGATTCTTATCTTAAAAATCACTATGGGCAAAATTAAAAAATGTATTATGAATATTTATTAATATTAATAAAGTAGATTTGTATGCCACCTGACTCCCAATTCACCCTGTACAATTTGACAGAAATTCTGCTCTTATTTTAGAAAATCCTTTTTTCTTTTTCAGTGCTGAAGCCTGAAAAACATTTATAGACAAACCTGGGAAAGACATTTAAATTGAAAACTAATTTGCATGGGAAATTGACGCTGAATTAATCCAGCCTGAAAATTACTAGAAAACTTTTTTAAAAGAATTCCTTGGCAAACAGATACACATGTACTAAATAAAAGTGATCAAGGTTAATTGAACTAGAACAGAGCTAACATTAATTTACTTCCTGCATGGTACTCTACAATTGAATCCTTATGACTTTCTCCACAACTTTCAAAGAAAGGAAAGATTGGACTTTGGGTATTATTGTCTATGTCAGCCAAATCTCTTCAGGACTGGTGTACCACCATCTCTTTCAAGGCAGCTTTTATAACCTTCTACCTCAAGAACTCTTGACTATCTCCTGGATCTATGCCCCCATCCACTTCACAAAAAAGCTAAGAAGTGCCTAGGTCAGACAGTATAAGGGTTTAAAGTTTATCAAGCAAAATACCCTATCAACTTCCTTCAAACTGATAGGGCCAGATGAGTCCCATATAACATTGCAAAACACTACTCCAACCATTCCATTAAATCCTGCCTATAAGGATCCAGTCCTAAGCAAATTTAAGTGATTTGATTAGCAGGATGATATCTGCCTAAACAATTGACAGTAGCTGAAGGGAAGCTTTTGCAGCCCAGTGGTGCCCAAAGGGAGAAATTCACCCTATACAATTTTGCTAGTGGACAATATATCCATACAGTCAGGCAGAAGTAAGAAAACTATGCTGCCCATTTGTTGTAGGCTCTTATATGTTGCTGCTCTTCTGCTCCAAGCATCCTTTCTACTATTTCATTGCATTTCCCAGAGCTCTTTGGTAAACCAAGGATACCCTGGGATCTGTGCAAGGGAGTCAGTTGTCCCACACTTTAACAGCTTTTACTTGGCACTACAATAATAATAATACAATAATATTTCTATACCTGGTTGTCCTAAAGGACCTACTGATCCTACTGGGCCTGGTAGGCCTGGAAATCCAGGATGTCCTTGTGGTCCAATAGCATTGATTCCTGGTTGTCCTCTCTCTCCTTTCTTTCCTTTGAGGCCTGGAGAACCTGGCACACCTCCTAGACCAGGTCTTGAAATACCTATTAAACCATGGTAATTGGTTAAAATGCACTTTATGTCTGTTTTTGTAATGTGCTTATCAATGAAGATTTAATTGCAACTTAAAAATAGTACTTGATTTCTATTGCTATTTAACAATAGTAGTTGTTTTACTGAGATAGTTTTATCCTTGGGTAACATACATACCTGGACTTCCAATGGCACCCAAAGGACCCTGTAGCCCTGCAAAATGTGATATAATTATTTCACATCAATGAAATATTGATATGGTTTTTCAATTGTCCCATGATAACAATGCAAAGTGATACATATCTAAGATACTTACAGAAATCAACAGGATTTTTATATAAAAAAGTAGATCCCAAGTTCAGTCCCTAACATTTAAATCACAAAGTTCAACATTTTTTACACTGTTATAGCTACATCAAAAATAGGCTTGATATCATACCTATATCTTGTTTCATCTGTCTGCCTTTTTATACAGAGATCACTGGTTTCATGCCAATCTCTTTTCTGATATGCACATACACATGCAGACAACACCATGCATATGAACAAAATGAATGTGAAACCTACACTAAAACTGCATGAGGATTGCTGAGACTGGGAAAAATATTTAAAGAATATTCTTTTTTCTTCCCTTCCATTTACTTTGTAATATTATAGTGTTGACAATAATTTCCTATGCAAGATGCTTTTTCTGAGCAGCATGGCTAGTTCCTCCTAAAACTGACAGTCTCTTACCTATTGGTCCACGCTGACCTTTACGTCCTGGAAATCCTAAGAGGCCCTTATTTCCTTTTGCTCCAGGTATTCCATCATAATACTCAGTCTTAAAAAGAGGGACAGATAAAAAATGGAGAGAAAAGAAAAGAGAAAAGAAGTTCAACAGTGAAGAGAAGAATGTTCATTAGCAACAATAGCTGGTATAATAAATAGTGTGATATTCCAAGATGTATGCTCTATATAATAATATTTTAGAATGATTTCAGATATTCCTGAAAATAATTTTTCTTTTGTGGCTTTACAGCTAAAGAAAGCAACCTCCAAACAATTCATCCCTAAGTATATGTTTAGGTTCATCTGTTTAACACAGATTATGGTGTAATGTTCCATAATTTGTAAGTGAACTCAAGTTGCTGCTTGGTTTTTTGAGTAGTTAAGGAAAATCAAGTGACTGAAGAGACATCTAGAGCATAGAGGCAAAACTCAGAAATGGAAATAACCAAGCACTGTTAAGAATTCAGGTTCAATTTATGTAAAACAAATAATGATTCACAAAAGTCCTGGTTGTTACTCTTGATGGATTGTATTTTCTCTAAAAGAATTAGTTCATGGCTTTAGGGTTTAAACAAATAGGGAGCACTTCATCTGATGTACTGTTTACCATTTGTATTAGGAAACCAAAATAGAACCTGCCTGTTCAGCTCATACATTTAAGGAGGACCTATTCAAGGTTTTTCCTCCCTGAGAGGTTCATGGACATTGACTAGATGGCAGGACTTCTCATTGGTGGCCTACGCTTTATAACATGCAAGACTTCACCCTCAGGAGTTCTAATTCTCCATACTTTTACAAAGAAAGTTAAATTGGTGCTATTCCAGTGAACTTATACTTCTTAGTTTTATCTGGGCAAGCATCTCAATTAGTTAAATTTTATTATTATTAATTGCTTCATTTTTGATTGCATTTTCTAACACCATCCAGAGTCTATGGATTGGGGCAGTTTACAAATATTATAAATAAATGATTTAAACTTATTATAACAAAATGTTACAGCACATGTAATTAGTACTTACTAGACCTTTGTTTCCCATAGGGCCAACTTCACCTTTTATCCCCTGCATAGAAACATTAAAAAACACTTAGGTTGAAGTAATTATGAGAAATACTATAATTTCTTGTAATGGATTTATAAAAGTGACAGAATTTGAGGCTATTTTAAAATCATGTTTAAAAGAATTGATATTTAACCAGTAAAATCAATTTTAATTTAAACTTTTCTAAATGCTTCTGGACTGAATGTTGTACTGCTTTTTTCTGAGACTAGTTATTATATTCATGACTTGTTTTACTTCTAGATGTCCATTTGTTTCCCAGGTCTCCTTGAAGATTTATTTCTGCCAAAGCTTTTTGTAGTACTTGTGGTAAAAAAAATCAATAACATTATAGAATAGTTAGTAGTAAAGTATATTACTATAATGGAGCAAGTATACAAGAGTAAAATAAAGAGATTTATTATATCCAGTCCTTTGCAAACCATTTCCAACTACTATTCTAGAATTATATTGAGTACTGAATTTCCTTCTTTATGACATATAAATGGAAAATAGGCTAACTAGATGACATTGTATCTGGAATGAACAATTAAAACCAAATTATTGACTAGTGCTTGATCAGGAAAACAAAATATTGAAAAAACCTCTCTCTTTTTTTCTTACCTTAATTCCAACTTTTCCAGGCAATCCTAGCAAACCCTTTTCACCTTGTTCTCCCTGCAGAAATATAATAGGCATTAAATGAGGTTAACATTCTCATACTCTCTAAATGCATTTTTCTGTTTATAATATTAGTTTGAAAATCAGTCCACACTGGGCAGATCAATTTTCTTTTAATTATTTACTTTGAACTCCATTCTTTACCTATTTTTTTTGTTTCCCATTTTATTTTCTCTTCTATTATAAATCTAACATTTCAAATGTTCTGCTGTTTGACATTTTCTTCTAGATTTTTAGATTTTGGTTTTATTTATTTTCTATTTGTTTCTTCCAGAGCAGTTTAGTTGGGATTACCTAGTTTGGCTTCCTTTACTTACCAAAGTCCAGAATCCATGGTGTTATTCCAAGAAACTGCAAGTAACACACTCAACTAAGGGAAAAAAAATCTGCTAAAGGAGCAGATTTTTGCAATCTTACTCAACCATATAAACATTTCTCTTTGACCCTTTTCAGCAACTGATCTTAGTATTTATTAATTCACCTCTCTATAATTTGAACATTGTTATGTAAGTCATATTTTTTTGCCAGTAGCACACTGCTTTTGCAAGCCTGAAATATTGCTATTATAGATCCATTTGGAATGCAGTGTCATTAGAGTTGGGCAGTATATACATGTAATTAATAATAAACTTAATAATAATTCTTATCATTTTATGACATAAAACAATTTCAATATTTTCTTGTTACCCGTGGACCAGGTGAGCCAGGAGCACCATTCTTTCCTGCCCTGCCCTAATAAAAGAAATAATAAAAGGAACATTAAGTAGTATACATTGTGATATAATACAGCATATGATAACCATAAGTTAATAATATTTATAAACTTGTACTGAAGCAAACTATTTTAATCTAATAAAGCATGACTTAATAAACTGAATACATAGAAATGAAGGTCTAATGTTCTCCATTTTTATAAATAGGTAAACATCCAAAATTGGCAACTAAAGACATAAATTTAAATGTGGGATTGAAAACAGTTTCCATAACAACACATGGTTTTCATAAAGGTTTGTCAAAAAGAGTTATGTATACCTGATGACCGGGGTCTCCAGGATCTCCTTTTATAGTATAGGAATCACCATGTAAACCCTAAAAAGATTCCCCCCAAACAATATATTTTAATTCATGTTAATGCACTAGGCATACAAGTTGCAAAACATCTGGAGAATACAAATGCTGATGCTAATAAATCTTAATTATTTTTAGCAACAGAAAATTTGTAATGCAATATTTAATGTCACAGAATGGTATATGGTTCAAATTTTTCTTCTTGAAGGAATTGACATGTACAATAGAAGACACTTCCACAGAAATATTCTGACAGTATATATAAAATATTAATTAATATTTATCATTCAACATTTTTAGACAAAGAATGTGGTGGTATCTGCTGCACTTAAATGACCAAGCACTGTTCACCCTGCTTTGTCGCCCCCCCTCCCCCTCCGCCAATCTTTGTTTCCATTACTGTGTGTTTGGGATCGGTTGCCTTGTTCTTTGTTTGGGTAAATGTAATTTTAATGTTTGCATTTTTATTTTGCAGTATGCAGATAAATAAAGTCAGGTGGACATTCTTTATTCTGTGGGTGTAAAGTCTGGTGGACATTCTTTATTCTGTATATCCAAGGTCCGTGGGATTCATAATCCTCCCAGGATTGATCAAAGTCATGAAAGTAAAAATATGATCATAATTGATAGTTCACAAAAGAAATATATTATTATGGAGACTTTAGGTGGCAACTCAGATAACAATGAAGAACAACCTACCGGTTCTCCTGGGGGTCCAGGATATCCTGGAGAACCTTGATCTCCTTTATCTCCTTTTAATTCCTGTAACAAAGGCCTTGAAGTTACTCTTTATTCTCACTGCTTTTTTTCACCATTCTCTTATCAAGCAGCAGCACTGGCATCTTCTCTCCCTCTTTCCTTTCCCATTTTTAAAAAAGCTTCTCTGTAGATCAAAGCTAAAGCCAAGTTAGTATTTTCATTCTTTTAAAGAATTTTTATTCTTTGTTTCATTCTTCTAGAGGACAGGGAGGAGGAAGAAGTAGCAGGGGACAACCTCTGAAGATTTTTTTTCCTTTAAAGATATGAATTCAGAATTTGTGTCTTGCTTCCTGATAATCTATTCCAGCAACACTATTTCCTCCCTCCAGTGGATATTAAACAACAAAAGAATTACTCCTAGTTTGTTCCCAGGCTTAGAAACCAATCGATTACATATACCTTGGGCATTAAGTGATTTGCATGAACTTATCAATTGTTCATTTATATTATTTATATGCAATCTTGAAGCTTGTCCTTTTTCTCTAAATCCAATACTCATTAATGATCCCCACCCCCCCTGGTTTATTTTCTAACAGCAATATTTTAAAATATGGTCTGATGCCAGATTGTTTCTTGCCCCCTTCAAACTCTCTAGGCCACTGTAGATGAAACATCATTTGCTAAGCTTCAATTGCTTTTCATTTTCTTCTATTCAGCAGGAAGGGGAAGGTATATTCCCTTTTTAGCCTGTTTTTGATACTGTTGAAGGAAGGAAGGAAGGAAGGAAGGAAGGAAGGAAGGAGAGAGGGAGGGAGGGAGGGAGGGAAAAGAGGGTGGTGGTAATAATGTTGCTGAAAGCAGTCCTACTGCATCTCTCATAGTTATCCTGGTTAGGTGGGGCAGCCTGACAAGATGAAAGAGATCCTCCCTTTCCTTAAATGGTGACAGACAGCATGCATAAGCAACCTTATTCTAATTCTAATTCCAGATCCCATTTATTAAAATATTTCTTTAAGCACAGAACTTCCCCAAAACCATAAAAATACAGCACCGCATTCTGTACTGAATCTTAACAATATTATGTTGTTACCGTTGTATTTTCTGCTCCAGTTAATGTTATAATAACAGTTCCAGATGGTCCAGGAGGACCTATTAGTCCACAATCACCCTGAAATAATAATTAAAAAGTGTTATTAAAAATGGACTTGATAAATTAATAGAAGATAAATTAATGGAAGATAACAATCACTGGTTAATAGTCAGCATGGCTACTAAGCAATTCTTAACACAAATGGGGTTTATTGGCCTCATGATCTGCAGAATGCATGGATAAATAGACTATTTCTTGATCAAGCAGGCTTTTCTTCTACTCTTCACTATTTCCATGTACAATTAGAGTATTTATGCTAACGAATAGCATTTGGGAAACATTCTTACAGAACAGCAATAGGGTAGACAAATGTGTTTTTATCATCAAATTAAGAAAATTAAGAAAGTTACTAGTTCCTATAATTCATAGATTTAATTTAAATTGATTTTTATTTTTATTGGGTTAAAAAAACAATTATACAAATATCTCCTTTGTATTTCATTTATTGGAAATAGTAACAGACTGCATTAAATAAATCACAACTAATCTTATCCTGGAATTGCAGTGATTAAAATATATATTTCAAACAAAGTTAATTTACACAAATCCAGTTTAATTAGACAATTACTCTGAGGTTCTTCAAAATTAATTCTCCATAAAATAGCTTACTGACTATGAAATGAATTTGGCAAAGAATGATAAGGATTTAAGTTTAAACCAGAGATATATTTTGTTCAATTAGTGGGAAAGCTAAAAAAATAGAAATATGTTAGTTTAATTATAGTAAGAGAATTATGTATACTTACCTTTATTCCTTTGGATCCAATAACATTAATACCCATGATACCCTAGAAAGCAAGACTTTCATTTAAAATGCATTCGGAAGTCTAAAGCAATGACACTATGAGTAAATGATGCCAGGATAATTATTTGTATTGTTCATTTATATCATAACTCTAACAATACCTTGGGCCCTGGAGGTCCTGCTCTTCCTACTGTGCCCTAAAATGTACAAACACAAATAAAACTGGGTTTTTTTTTATTATAAATGCATTACAAGAATACATTAATTGTTTGAAAATAACGAGAAAAATTGCAAATATTAATATTTTCTGTACAATAGTTTACAGCATTAGAATATGGATGTTGTCTATTACCACATTAATTGATGAACTTGTATTACTCAATCATTAAATATGCTTTCTGGACCAGAGGCCACTGCTGGAAGAACAGGCAGAGTCAAAAGCCAGGAAATTGGCCAGCTGTAGGTCTACTTGGAGCTACTTGCTTCAGTGATTCATGCTCTCTTCCAGTAGTCTAAATCCAGTAATCTGGATCTAGACTACTGGAATGCACTCTATATGGGTCACTTGAGCATCACTTGACAACTCATATTTTATCAAACACTTGATGCTGTCACCATGCAGCACCAATTATGAACCCTACACTGGTATAAGAAGAATTCAAGATTCTGCTTTTAATCTATAAAGCTCTATATAGATTGGCATCTGGGTTCCTTCCCCAAGAAAAGTTAGAAATATTCCCTAAATATTCCCCTAGTTCTCTGGAATGGCTTCTTCCTAGAAATGAGATTGGCCTCATTCTTAACAGGCTTCCTGGAACAAGTGAAAAAGGAATTATTTCAATAGATCTTGGAGTGATTTTTTATGTAAATCAGGTTATGTCATATGTTTTAATTAAATTTACCATGAATGGGAAAATGTTTAAATATTTTTTATTACTGTGAACTTTCAAGAATTGCAAGATGTGGCAGTATATGCATTTAATAAAAACATGCTAATAAAATGCATTAATATACAATATCACAGGTAATATAGAACATCATGTGTTTATGTGAATAGACATGTATAAACGATGAAATTCTCAAGAACCACTAAAAGTAGATTTCAAAGTAAAACAATTTGCTTAGGAAGATTTTGCTTATGCAGTTTGTAGTAAGATACCATAAAAAGACTTTGAAGAAGACAAAATAAAAAATAGTTCCCCAAACAAGAGAGAGTTCCCAGGCAAATGAGACAAGAGCACTCTGATAAGAAATGAAGAAGGTGTGAGAAAAACTGGTTGAGCTTTAACGTATTGTGAGAAAAGGACAACTAGGTCCTAAAATAATTGCAGGCTTCAAATTAACAATATATAATAACGCCGGCTGAACTGATTTTGCAAGTATGGCAAAATATTTGCAATCTGCTCAGATGATTGATTTATACAAATGCTTTGTATAAAAGCTTTGTAAAGGTATATAAATAAAGGTATAAAATAACAAAAGATAACAAAATATTAAATTCAACTTCCAAGTAGAATAAAAGCTAACATTCTATTTAAACTTCTACATACAATTTAAAATTTCTTACTGGAAAACCGGAAGGGCCTTGTGGTCCGATTGTCCCAGGTAATCCTTGAAGGCCTGGCTTACCCTTTAAGAGATAAATACCTATTTAACATTTATATCAGTCATCAATATTCTTCTTTTTCTTCCCCATTAACATAGATTCAACTTAATTAATACATGTAGTGAATTTATCATTCCACTAAAGAATAGAATAGAATAGAATAGAATAGAATAGAATAGAATAGAATAG